AACAAAATAAAATAACTGAAAAAAAAAAGAAATCAGAAATAAAAACAAAATACAATACACAAAAACTAAATAGCTCACAACTACGCCCAAAGCTGTTTTTGCTGTACGGCTTAATCAAAAACTTCAAATCGATTTATAATAAAAAAAAGCACGCACCCTCCCTTCAGAGTCAGCGTCAGAGCACATTGCGGAGGCTAACTGAAAGAGCTAACTAAAAATGTAAAAAGGCCCACTCGAAAATCCTTGGCGCGCTTTTCATTTAGCCGCGTTCATCTTTAATAAATTTTTATGCCGTATGCTAATAAAGATTTTCTGTCGTGCCCCAAGCCATTTGCCACGGCCAAAGCAATGGCTAGGGCACTGGTTATGGTCGGGCTGGCTGCCAGTCGCCCTTCATCCATATCTCTCGGGGGCCGGGGCTACGTTTTAATATCCAGCCACGTATGTCATGGCACAAAACCATTAAGCACAAAAAGCAAAGTAAAATGCTAGAGCTGAATGCAAGAGCGAAACAACACAAAAAAGGAACAAAATATATCTACAGTTATACATGCCTACATATATATATGTATAGTACTATATAGAAAAGATGTAGAGGAAGCAGTGGAAAAGCAGGAAAAAATTATGCCCCAGACGCCGCTGAATTTTAAATGAGCCTTTATGGGCTTCATTTCAGCGTGTAAATTATCTCATTTGTCAGCAATTGCGCTATGCGTGTATTAGTGTGTATCTGTGTGCGTGTATGTGTGTTTCAGTCAAGTGCCCGCCTAGACATTGCCTCCTCCATCCGCCCTTCCCTCATATTCATATGCGAACTGTACTCAGCCATTTGTAAAATGATTCAATGGCGTCTCCTGACATATAATGAGATAAGCGCACGCTTTGTGCGATAAGATTGCGTTCTGCCCAGCCAAAGACCAGCCGGTGCGTATCAACATGCCATTGCCAGCAAGTACAGTAACAACTATGTACTAGCGGACATCGGTGCATTCAATTTGTCCAGACAGGATAGCCTTGGCGAGCAGAATATACATCCAAGCACATTCTTTTCTTTCTAAAACTAGTATTTTTTAAATTTCTTGAGCCCCGAGATTCTTTCAGAAAAGGCTTACAGAAAACAATAACTAAGTGTATGAAAAGTCTTAAGCACATTTTAAGTATGCAAATTCGTCTTAACAAGCAAAAGTATCATTCACCAATTTCCTTTCATTAAACTCAGCGAATCTGCATTTCCACCTTCACGAACTTCAGTTTTTCTCAAGCCTTGTCTTATGAAATACCTCCCAAGACTTAATGAAACAGTTAAAAAATTGCCAGTCTTACGAATTTGCATAAAATGAATAAATTCAGACTTCGCGGCTGCGTTTCCTTTCAAGATTTCTTTAAGGCAACAACTTTCCCAGCAGCTCGGGCAGTGAAAGTCCGCTCAACAGAGTCGCCACCGTATATCCCACATGCATATATTTTTCTCTCTCTCTCTCACTCTCTATATATATAGTCATATATATGTGTAATTACACATAAGCCTGCGCATATAACAGCTGCAGAGATTCGGACTCAGAATTCCAAACATAATCGCATATCGGAATGCGTTTACGCTTTGGCATCCGCTGGCCGGACACGCTGAATGACTTCGCAGTACGAAATGCAAACAAATCTTGAATAGCGATATGGACGCAAGAGGCGTTCCACAGCACATGAACGGGAGACCCACAAACAAACCAAACACGAGCCGGAGTTAAGCTAAAATAGGTTCAAATCTATTTATAAACGTTGTCACAAAAGAGATTTTTGGCTTTGTTTGACCAACATTTAGCTCGCATTTGGTCAGCGCGACAATGTGTTAATCACACCGATTTGATTAGCCTGATCTGACCCTTGTCTAACTGATAAGCCTAACAAGAAAAAACAATTTTCCTTTTTGCTTTTTAGTTTAATTTAAAGGAATGCTTAACTGGAAAAGTTACAAATTAGTAGCAAATGATTTAAAAATAATAAATAAAAATAATAATAATTTTTCGTTCATATATCACTTTTAAACGAAGCGTTAAATTCAAGACAGATTATTATGGGTTAAATAGTAATGAAACTACTTAGCAACATGCTTCATGCCTGGACCAATTATAGCATGATAAAATGCTATTAAGCAATAAAAACACAATGAAAACAGCCTGGCTTAACTCTTCTTTAACATCTTGAATAACCCTTTTTAAAATTTATTTGTTTGGCAGTCGACTACGAGTCGTAACACAAAACTGAGTTTTTAGAAATTGGATTGTGCTTTCTATAGAAAAGTGTGGGCCAACTACTCATAAATATCACAAAAATGTTGTGTAACTCAAAGTTCCAATTAGTACTTTAAAATTGATGCATGTGTGTTTTCAAATGTGCTTTTCTACATCTCCATTTTTTCTCTCGTTTTCATTTTATTATAACAAACTTGTGCTCGAGTTTTGTGTGGACAAACTTGACTGGACGTCAGCATGAATAGAACCATACCTACATAAGTATATATATATATATATATATATATATACATATATATATATATATACATATATACATATATATATATAAATATATATATATATATATATATATATAACAAAGAAACGAAGTTGAGGGCAACCGAGCGCCGTACCCACCTTTTGACAAGGGCATAATTAAAGCATAACAGGAGTAACAGCAACGCCCCGTAAACGTACCCCAAAACAGGTTCCACCAAATAAAAAAAAAATAAAAAAGGAAAAAACAGAGACGGAAAAACCCGTCCTCTCGCTAGTCAAGGCGATGCGGATCAGGGCGTGGCGCAGCAGAGGCGGGAAGAAAGTGAGAAGGCAAGTCGTGGCGCGGCAAGGCGCACATAAAAGCGAGACCCACTACATGGGGTGAAAACAGGTTGTTACTTCCTTGCAAACAAGGTTCCGTTACCGTTATGCCCTTATGTATGCATGTGTGTGTTTGCCTGCCTGTGTGTGTGTTTGTATCTGTAGCTGGCGTATAAAAGAAAAGCACGTTATTGCCAATTTAACTTACATTGTGCATGTGTCTTTAAACAAAGATTTATGTACCCACTTGCATGCATACTCATAGCTAGCCAAGTATAATATATTCAGTAAGTGTGTGCGTTTGTCTGTGTGTATGTGGGTGTGGGTGTGAGTGTGGGTCAGGTGTGCGCGTAATAACTTGCTATAGATATATATATATGTGTGTGTGTGTGAGGCGGTTGCTACGTGCCGCGTTGCCACTTAAATCAGCATAATGATATGCACTTATTGTTGTGGCAAATTTGTTAGCGGAAATGCTGCGAGAAACCGCAGACCAAGTGTAACGCACGACTCACACACACGCACAGACATATATAGACACCCAGGCAACCAACATATACACCACAGATGCCTGTCGCAGTCGATTTCTTCATTTGCCTAATACGAGTCGACGCCATCATTAATCTAAAATATGGCAAGGACACACGCACACACATACAAATATATGAACACATACGACTAACGATGTGCATGTAATTATGCTCAGCCACATACGCACTCGCACTCGCACCCGCACGCTCTTGCTCTGTCCCACTCTGGCACGCATTTTTGCGTAAGCCTTGTTAATCGTGACAAAAGCTTATTGCGGTTTATTTGGGCTACTTGTTTCACATCCGGCGTCAATGTCGCTGCCGGCAAAAACCAAAATCAACACATTCAAACACACACACACGCTCGCATCCACACATACATACATACACATGTGTGCGCTGGCATGTAATACAGTTATATGGGCAAACATATGCGTGCGTTTGTCTGCCTTGGCCTGCTCTGGTCTCGCTGGCAGCGCGCGCGTCACTTGCACACACATAATAAACATTTTAAACATTATATTCGTGTTTAGCTGGCAGCTTCTTGCCAGCTTGCTGTTGTTCTTGTTGTTGTTATTATTGCCAGATGTGTGGCCATGCGTGTGTTAGTGTGTGTGTGTTCGTTTCGAGCAAAATTTACGGGTTTTAACGAATAATGGCGCTTGTGGGAAATGAACGTTTTGTGTTCGCTTCTGCTTGTCATCACAACGCGCCGAACATTCGCAACGCATTCCAAACACACACACAAATACAAACACACACAGCATTCACCACTTTATCAGCATTTTACTTTAGCTCTTATTACCACCCACGCTGAGTACATTACCACTCCCACACACACATGCATCTATGAGTTTTGCGAGTCTCTAAGGAAATTAAAAAACAACTAAAACAAATTAACAATGTAATGACAAAGTCTTATACATCGTATACACATACATAAATAAACATACATACTCACACTCACAAGAACTCACAGAGATACATGCTTACATACACACACTCACAAATGCCAACTGCTAATATCGTATCAAGCATTTATCCCAAAAACAAAATACAAAAAAACTGAATTACCTAGAATGGGCCGCCCTGTGCTTTTCGAAGTGCCACCCACAACGCAACGCAGCAGAACACAACGACTGTGTTAAGTAGACGCCATGGAATCGAGCAATTCGCACTTGCGAAACGCAAACGCTTTAATGATGATCGATTTGGATAAACAATGAAATTTCCGCATTCAAATTTTATTGCCAGCAATCAGTGGCGCACTTTCCGGGCCGTTCGCCTACATAATAAGTGCGTAATGCTAATACAGGCAGTTCGTTACATATATTTATCTACTTAAATTGCATTAATCTATCAACTGTGCCGCCCTTTTGCTGTTTAGCTAGCTAATTTTCAATAAAAATTGAATGATTGTTATTGGCACAGCATGTGTGGGCGGGTGAGCATTTGAGTGTGTGCCTTTTGGGTGCAGCACTTAATACACACGCGCCAATTTAAAAATATATCTCAATATTTAAAAAAAAAACGATTTAATTAACTTGAGGCACCCTGCAGCTATGCGCATCAACTCAGCTGTTCTCATTTAATACCAACATTTGGTATTTTTGTGAAGTATTTTTTAGTTAGTACTCTTACGGTCACACTAGCTAACATATGTAAACAAAGAAAGATTGCAAGCAAATGCCACGAATTCTTAATTAAAAACAATACTATTGTGTGTTGTACAAATAATTAGCTGCCATCGGGGGCTGTGTAACAACTACGTGTTCTTTCTGATGTGCAACAGCAGCATCTAGAGAAATAGCTCAAGTAGCAGAAGCAGCAGCAGCAGCAACACAGACATTCCAATGCACTTTCTCTCCATAGAGTAAAACCTGTCTTGCGGCTTTTTGTTGGTGTTGTTGACATCTATTTCGATATCAATAGAAAAATACAGGCCAAATATATGTATTGCTCGTTGTCGCGTTTGCTTTTGCGTCGTTAGCAGACTACTAAGCACCTGTGTGCCAGCAATTACAAGAACAAAATTATAAAAAAACAAGCTAGCTGATTGCCGTCTTTATTGTCCAGTCACATCTTGCCCGCTCTTGAGTGCGTTTCAGACAACTGGAGAGTCGCGCTTAAAGAATTCATAATTTGCATATTATTTTTTGCTATATGCATAATTTAAGCCAAGCATGTTTGGTTCAATTGAGTCATTTTGCCACGGAACTTTGTGCTAAACGTAAGTTCAACTCAATTTGTCATCAATCACCAAACAATATAATAATTTCTAACACACACTTTCGCAACAGGTCACATCTAACCATATTTAGAAGATATAAATATATATTCGCAAGCAAGATGTCTTCGATTGAGGAGAAAGTGCGTAGCATATTGAACGCCAAAGATCTGGGCGATATAACAACAGAATTATGCGACTTCTCATTAAAAGAACAAAATGCGACGGCCGAGGCGCAGGGCGTACAGCCATCGGCAACGAGTGACTTTGTGCCGAAAGTCGGGCAGACGATTAACTATATTGTGGCCTGTGTCATGTTCAATGAGCACGACGAGCTGCTCATGATCGAGGAGGCCAAGCCCAGCTGCGCAGGTGAGTTGGCAATTGGCAAATTGACATCGTTTCAAGCTTGTTTGCCTTCACACAGGTAAATGGTATTTGCCCGCCGGCCGCATGGAAAGGGGCGAGTCGATTACGGAGGCAGCTGCACGCGAGCTGTTCGAGGAGACGGGCCTCAATGCGGAGATGACTACATTGCTGGCCGTGGAATCGGCTGGTGGGTCCTGGTTTCGCTTTGTGCTAACGGGTCGCATTACAGGTGGACGGCTGAAGACACCAGCCGATGCGGATGCGGAGTCTATACAAGCGCTGTGGCTGCGCAATGTGAAGGAAGTGCCGTTACGGGCCAACGATATACTCAGCATCATTGAAATCGGACGCGCCTATCATCAGCACCAGAAGCTGCTACAGACAGAGGAGGGTTTGCTAAAGCAGCCGCAATGGCATGCGAATGTGCTGCCCACGCGTCATCCGCACAAACGCAACTATTTACGAGTGCTGGCCGTGGCGCGCAAGCGTGCTAGCAACTCGATGAACATACTCATAAGCGAGAAGAATGCACATCACTTTCCAACCGTTGAAATGCATCCGAATCGCAGCCTGCACTCGACGTTGCGCAAATTTATGATCGAAATATTTGGCGCCGAGCTGCCGCAGCATCGGCCGCATGGTCTGCTTAGCGTGGAGCACGGCACAAACAGCGACGAGGGAAGCGATGGTCTATGCTTGAATCTGTTAGTCGCCTTCAGACCGCCGCTCGAGGAAATTTCGCTAATTGGCAAATGCATTTGGCAAGAGCTTAGCTCACCGCTGGACGAGACGCTGGCCCGCATACTCAGCAGCAAGAATGGCTCCATACCACTCAACGTGGTACGTTAGCTGCCTATCAACTAGACGTAACTCTCTTTCAAATGGTGCAAGCTTATATTATATACCCTAGTATTTAAATATACCGATTGCCACGATTGTTGCATATAAACTTGTATGACAATCGAGTCTTTATTTAACTTGAATTTTTTGTTTATTATTAAATGCCTTCGAAGCATTTTACTACAGTTATTTCCTTTATATCTCCGATTTCATATGTATATATAGTCTGCCTGAGAATCGTGAATTGAGTCAATCTAGCTTACTCTATAAATCTGTTAATGGAAGATCAGTTTTCATATTAATGCGAGAAAATCTCAATAGACTCTTTTTACATCTTGAAAGAGTATTAAAACGAACGCTGAAACATACTTAAGAGAGATGCTCTCAATTTTGAGTGGGATGCCGCCTATGTAAAGGCGACCCCGCTGCAGGTCGCACACCTGTGTTTCGACTCTATTATTGCGTTAGGTAAACAATAAATATTAATAACACCATGAAAAATAATAATCTGCGCATACATGCTTTATCATAATGATAACCTTCATTAAGATTTTTAATTTGATCTACGATCTTCAAACGAAAACAGCCTTTATAGTGTGAAGCTGATCTACCTTGTTCTTCTGCATGATGAGCTGCACAATCATTAAGAAGATCTGATATCTTTCATTATAATGATTATCTTCTGTGCTGATCTTAAATTCTTACAAGTGGAATTTTGTGGGCTTGACTATTCAGGTTATCTTATCTTCGCTTCTCTAGTTCCGAGAGTCACTAAACTTACTTAATAAGACACTTAGTTCCTGGAAAACATAGATTATATTAAATAAGAGCTCCACACAATACGTCGCGTTTTATTTTCTATTTACAATTCGTTGCGAAATCCTTCTGGCTTAAAATTTTTAATATATACGCTTCTCACGTCTGCAGCAAAAATGTTCATTGAATAAATGAAAACTATACCAAATTAATGTTTGACCATAACTAAACATTACTTCTACATCTAATCTTTCCAAATAGAGTTGAATACCTCCATAAATGAATCGTAGATCATAAACGTGATGGCGACATCCAGGCACACACGGCCGAGTCGTGGCACTGTGCCCTTGTAGAACGCCGCAGCACCCTCATTGCGGAATATTTGCATTGCACAATCCGCCGTATTTTTGTACTTGGACGCTTCAAGGCCCTGCATACGTGTCTTGACCACATCCAAGGGCGTATTGCCAAATACAGAGGCGGCGCCAGCAATGGCACCAAACGTGCCCACCAACAACTTGGGTACTGGTTTCTTTGGATCATCGCCCTGCAGAGAGAAGGGTGTGAGTTTGCGAAAAATTAAACTAAAGCTAAAAATGCTTTTGATTGAAGCAGGCTTGCCTTGGCTTTCACATAGTTATAGAAGCTTTTGTGACTAAACTGTAATTACCTTGTATAGCTCCTTCAGAGATTCCATGACAAAGAAGCGAATGGCTTGGTTGGAACCCTGCTTCAATATCGTTGCCGAAAGACCCTTGTAAATGCCACCGATGCCCTCCGCTTTAACTATCTCGCTGACGCCATGGGCGAAGCCTTTGAACTTGGGATTTGCACTGCGCTGATCATTGATGAACTTCACCTTGATCGTTTCCATGGGCGTCACGGCAACGACAGCCTCACAAATGCCAGCGCCCAGACCACACAGCAGTTTCCCGGAATTGCTCAGGTAGCCCTGTGAATCAACCGCTTTTGAGCGCAGGAATTCAAAGGCGCCAAACCTGTGAGGTGAGTCAATTAGCTAGGTGACCTGATAGGATTTGGAAGTGTAAAAGCTCACCTGGCTGCCGACTTCGGTATGCTGCCGTAAAGCAGGACGCTGAGGCCACGATAAAGTCCGAAAAACCCACGTTGATTCACTGTCTTCTTCACACAATCGGCAATGCCGTTATATCGTTTATTGGCCCCCTTCTCGTCCAGCTGCAGCTGCGTCTTTACGTACTCGGTGGGGTAGGTGATACAGATCTCAATTCCGCCCGTAATACCACCGGCAATAATGCCTTTTATGCCATTCGAGCCACTTGCCGCCGCAGCTCCGCTATCAACCATCCAGGGCCTCCTCTGGTAGGGACTTGGAAATAAAGGCACACGGGAACGATCCATATCTGACTAGTTTACCAAAATTCGCGAAAAAAAATATATTCTCTGTATATTTTTTTTTACAAAAAATATAAAATAAATAAAAATTTTCACTTAAATTTAGGAAATTTTAAATTGAGTGGGAGTTATCTGTCATGCCCGGCCAGTTCTGCATTAAACTGTGCGAGGGTGTGTGAAGAAAGGCTGTCTTAAAATAGATATCAAACAAACTCGTAGAGCTCGCTGCATAGCAATAGGTTTAATTATAGCAAACAATCGATGAACAGGAAAACAACACCAGGACCATTCATGACTGATGCAACTGTAACTGTTGAGCTATGATTCTTATCAGAATATTCACATAATTTTCATAATAATACGATATACGAATATCGTTAATATTTAATCGCCCTATATACCCCATTCTTCAATGCGAACAGCATATACAATCTATACTGCAACTCTTTAAGTAGTTTGCTAAGGTTATGTCTATAGCTAATCTATAACGTCTGCTTGTTTCGTGACAATTCGTGATTTTATCGCGTCGATTTTCACCTTGAAACCAAAGTTCAAAAACAAAAATCTATGTTGTATAATTCCAATAGAGAGAATTGTCAATTGCTACGGAAACATCTGCAACTGATTGCGATTACTTAAGATCGTATGATAGTATTTTGAAACGTAACGAAAGAAGAAATACATTAAATACTCTATAAGAATTCTCTTTTTGTTTCGCTCTTTGTACTCGACTTTTTTGTTATATAATTTTTGCAATGTCATAATAAATTATCGTATTACTTGCAATAATTATGCTGGTTTATTTTGGAATTTTCTTTCTAATTTTTTATCAATTGAACAAACTCAAACACTGCTGATAAAGATAAACAAAGTTGAATGATAACTTTTTATTGGAATTGGGCTCTCCCACGCACACACACACACACACAGCCTAGCGAACAATTGGAATTCCAACAAGCTTTTAGCTGGAGAACGGCTGCCGGTAACTGATCGGTTTTTCTGATTGGAAATGTGTGCAATAAAGTGCACTATAGTTCTAAGCTCAACTCACTTAATAACAATTGGAAGAAATGCAATAATTGGTTCACTTTGGCACTGGAGCTCTTTGACCGACGTTTTTTAATGAGCTGATTGGAATACGACTGCGACGCGTTCGCGGCTAGGGCAGCGACTCAACTGAAAAAAATTTCATTTTCCAATCGCAGAGAAAGCTACAAAAATTCAAATAAGCAGCCCGTTTGTAAACAAGCAGAAACTAACCAACTGCTGCTCGCCGCAGATCGCGCTGCAGAGCGCGTGGAAGCAAGAGCGCGTGGCCGATGCGGCGACGAAGAGCAAAAGTAACGGCGATGGCGTGATACTGGATTTTGCCTCATTTATGACGACGCGGCAAAAATAAAGTAAAACACGATCTGCGTCTCTTAATCAGCAAAACCCGTTTGGCTCGCCACAATTTGCCGGAGCTTTTTCCAACTGGAAAAGCTCGCCCTTGCGCTAGTTAAGCAACAGCGAGAAAACGAACTTTGTTGTATGCACTGAAAAAAGCACGCAGCGAACAGCCGTAAAATAGACAACAATTTATTTATATTGCTGCTTTGCAGCTATTACACAATGCGAGCACATACATACACTCATACACTCACACTCTGTGTGTGCTTGCTGCTGATTAATTTAAGTCATGCACCATTGTTTGCCTCTAGCCAGTAAATCGATATAAATGTTATCAGTTTATAACACATTATAAAAAGTTTTTATCATTTTCTTTCATTTACCAAACAATTTTTGTTTAATCAGCAGCGCATGTGGATAAATACTATATTATATGCGGAGCCGGCAAACTGGAACTGGAACCCTAACTGTTAACCAAGGCGAGAGCCAATCACGATTTCCCCTCTTTCTATACTGCGCATGAGTCACCCACACAGCCTTAACTGTTCCTACACTTACACATATATATATATATGTGTATCGTTAAAGTGACGACAGCTCCAGAAAGGAAATGTGTGGGTGTGAGCGTCGTGATGTACCGTGGGTCAAAATTGTGTTGCATATGTCAGCGAACAACTCAAGACTCTCGCAATCTACATATATGTATATGTACTTTTATTTATACTGCAGATCATATTCTCAAATTGACTTTTCTCACATCAACTTGATATGATATGAAGCAAGCCGCCCACAAACTAAATCAACATAAAACCCTGAAAAAGAGATCATGAGAACATACTGCAACAAATTTGCATTTGCACTTATTTTCATTTCAAGCACGTTATCGCAGTTTTTAATGGGTTTCCTTATTGCAATTATTACTCTTCATTAAACCCAAAGCTAGATTAGTTGTTTTTCCAATTGAGCTTTTATGAGAATCATAAATTCGATTCCATTGGAATGTCCTAACTTGCATAAAGCTTTACTTTGGCGATTGGAATTTTTAATGATCGCCTTATATGATTCTTATTGGAAGCGTTACAAGCACTTTCTTCGATTCCTATTAGATTATGCATAAAATCAATATTGCAAATATTTTACGAACATACGTAAAAGCTTACATTTAAAGCGAAATATTAGTTTTATTCAAATGCATTTTGAAAATTTCACATGTCATTTACAGGCATATATCAGATATACGCGTGTGTTTATAAATAAACATTAGCATTAAAGTGCAGTTCTTTCCATATTTTGCTGTGTTGTTAATCAATAACACTATATATATTACTAAGCTGGGAATTAGTTCATAATGCAAATATAGTTTAGACAGTTGATAGTTCAGTCATGTTTTGCAGTCGAAATGGGTGCTTAGACTGCCTTGTATACACGCACGCTCGTGATGCTGCCAATGGTGAGTGTCTATAAAAGATAAGATATACATATAGTTATGATCGATAAGGGAACATTGGACTTTGACTGGACTCACGGTAATCAGCTCGTTGTCGTTGAACTCGCGCACAATGGTCGAGGGCTTGTCGCCCTTCTGCTCCTGCGTCAGCTTGTTGCCATCGAGAGTGATCACGCTCTTGACTTTGCGACCATCCAGAGTCTCCTCATCGAACTCCTCGCCCAGCTTGAAGCTAATGGCAGAGGTCTTGAATGTCGATGTAGTGGTCAATGTGTAGGTATCGCCCTCCACGGTAACCTCCACAGTGGGGCTGACGGTGTTGCCCATTTTGCGCAGAACCATGCCAACGCCTGAAAAATATTAAAAATTTACTCAATCAATAATATGCTTAATTATTCAAATATCTAATCAATATACATATTTAGTGAATATTCCACGAACTTCTAAATAACTTGACACTATTTCTAATATTTATATTGACTTTTATTCAAACTAGTCCAAGCTGCTGCAAATAATTGCCGGAATGCAATTCAAAGTACGGTAAAAAGTATACCGATTCATAAAACTTTATAAACAAGATTTGGACAGTTACTAATTGAATTACTCTGTCAAAGTTGAAGACCCATACACAATGCAAATCATATTGTATTTAATTGAAATAATAAAGCTGAATTATGAAGTTGCCAGCAAGTAACCCAGACAGAGAAAAACCAACAGCAGATCGAGAGTCATGCTCAAGGTTAACAATGTGGACTCTGCTGGGGGGACAGACAAACGGACGAACGGACAGACGCCCAGCCTCCGGTACTTATCAATTGGTCAGCCTAAATAAATATATGTATATATATATAGCAAACTGTACGAACAAAGCGAGGTGCAAGCGAACCTTATCGCAATGCACAAGTGTATATACACACATGATATTGATATATATAAATTATACATAATATATATATATATATATATATATATATATATATACAGTGACTCTATAGAGAGCTCTGCCCCCTGTTGACCATCAATTTGCAGAGACAAATCAATTATGCTCAATTATGTACTTGTAAGTCTCTTAAGTGGACAACCTTTGGGTCTCGAGTGTTTTATGATTCGATAAGTTCCCAGGGAAACTTTTCGGGAACGTCAACAGCTGCGCCCAAATAATAAAGAGCCCCCCTTGTATTTAATTTCTTTCGACTGGCATAGATTAGGAAAAAGTTCGCAAAAATAGAAAAAAATCGGCTAACGACTTTTTGTTGCTATACAGTCCACTGTATTGATAAGGTGCAAGGTGCAACAACAAACGCACAAAATCCGTAATCTCGAAACTATATTATCATTAATATACTATGTTGCTAAACTGTTTATCATTTCTACTATATACGATCTAGGTGCATCGATCAATCAGATAAAAGTTCAAGTATTATTGACGTGTCTCAACAGTCATTTTATTTTTTTTTTTTTTCTTTCGATAGTTATTTTCATTAAAAATCTGGTAATCCAAACCTCTTAAAAGTGTCGACGTTTGATGTTGAAAGTCGAGATCTTGTTTGTGATTCGATTTTACACTCCAAACCACGAAAAAGACCGCAAAAAATAACAAAATAACAGAAACATATACATATGCCGTAATGAATCAAGTTTCCAAATCCTCAAACAACTTGAACCCCGCACTAGACTAAACAGAACAAAGTTCGACTATTGTCTAAACAATTTAGTAGGTGCCTAGACAGACTATTGTTTGTCGAAATTACGCTAGTTTAGACTCACTCATACTCTATATAGCATAGAATGATTTTTATCTGTCAAATAATAGTATTTTTACTTTTTTTTTTCTATTTCTTCGAATTACCACACCTTGCAGATATATACTTATCTATTTTTATTAATTTTTAGATCTGCAAAAAATGATTTGTTTTAATTTATTCTCCGTCATATACTCAATGTGAACAAGGGCAAAAATTCATTAAAACATTGTAAAATATAGTAATTAAGCGTAGAAACTGTTTGCATGGGAATTACAAACCTTCTTCGACTAAAGTTCAGCTTTTTTTAAAGTAGTTTTCAGTTTATTGCCCCATTAGCTCGACCCCGATAAGGTTCTTAATGAATTTTGCACCTGATTCATAAAGTTCTCTGTAGCGGAGCAGCAGCCTTTATGAGTCAAAAACTCATAAAAAAAAAAAACAAGTTGTTTGCAACCACGTTTTTCATTTCTATTGGCCCTGGTACTTTATCATCTTTCTCTTGCACATCTGCAAAAAAAAAAGCCGCCCGGCTAGCGGCTTTTTTTTTACTCTGCGTTTTCGGCTTCTTTTTCACACTCTCACGCTGGCTCGCTCACTCGCTTGATGGCGCACTCCACGTGCCATCGGACGCATACATAATACTATTTGCTCTATATTAACATAAATAAAATCCTAGCTACTTACCCAACTCCTTCATGTACTCATCGAAGTTCTCGGACTTGTCCAGCTTGTACTTCTTGCCAACGAAAGATGCCATTTTTACAATTTTTTAAATGCGTTCACTTGGTTGAGTAACACGAAAATCGGACCACCACTGCTGAAAGCTCTCTCAAGCGGACTGTTTTTATGTGCGCGTACAGCGTTACCAGCCCCTAAAAACTGAATAAAAGCTTCACTTGAGTAATCTGAGAGCGCAAGCAGGAGAGCGTAAGTTTTGCTAGGGATTTTTATATAGGGAGCACGCATCAAACGTTATCGATATGGATACCCCAATAAAATTTCAAATAAAGGCGTAAATTAAAGTCATGCAGATAAATATTGCATAAAACAGGCATAAAGATGGGAATGTACGTGTTGTTTTGTAACATTGGATTATCGAAAAAATCAAAGAATCATTAATTGCGCAAGCTTTGACCATTGCATACATATTTTTATGACAAACTTGATATTAAATTTAGCAATTAGATCTCTTTTGATTGAACCAGAAAAACAATATAATGGAATACATATATATATATATATATATATATATATATATATATATATATATGTAATTATATATATGTGTGTGTGTGTTGTGTGAACAACCTCTCGTAACTTAACATGATCAATTGCCTGCACCTAAATTGATTCAAACGAGCCGTCCATACGATTCGTGCTTCATATGCTGTGAGAACTGCAAGTTAAAGTGGAATCTTCTGATGCTACGATTACTTGCATGTATATAAATATTATACATAATACCCATTGTGGGTCAACAATAATAATACCTTGGGTATTATTCTTAGAATACTTTCTTTTGTATGTGCGCCCCCGCCTGTAGCCAATTGTATGAATAATCTAATCGAGCATTCAAATCCATAAAAGGCAATCCAATGCAATTCCACAAAGACCTCATATGTCGTGTAGACCAAATTATATTCCTTTGCTTTCTTATCTCGTTAATTCAATTACCGTTTTCGGCATTCGTGCGTTGCAGCTGTCACTTGTTTCGTATCTCAAGCTATTTAAGATAAACATATATTGATATGCAGGAAAATAATGAAATTCAGAATGAAAACATGTCATACCATACCATACCATACGTCAAACAACCCACATTGCTTTATCTATATCATTTGTTTTTATTTTTTCTAATGATTTGTGATACTATATATGTATATATATATATATATATATATAGATATAGATACATACATATAAATTTTTATCGCTTATTTGTCATACTTCATACACATTTAAAAGCCAATGGGACCAGACTTATGAAATTAAAATTTTCTTTTAACTAAACTGCTTTGTTATTAGCTAAGTTTCGAACCAATGTCGTTAACAAAGCAGTGCAATAGAAAAAACTTTTAACTGCACGATCGAAGCTTTGTGGCGATTCAAATGTGTTTAAAGATTGTTTCAATATAAATATATTTGTAATTTATATAAATGCATAAAACATATATTATTTTTAAGTATGTTTATTATGTATGTATGCGTAACTATAATAGATTCATTTGAAATGCTCATGTAACAGGTGATACAAAATATAGAACCGATTTTGCTTGCACTTAGTTGGACGCTCTCTTTAAAATATTTGCATTGATAATTTTATTACAGGTAGTTGTCAGATTGCAATATGCAATCAATTGAGAACATATGCCGGCCGGCCTCAAAGTTCAGCGAGAAACCAACAAATGTGATTAGCAGGAAAGAGTAAGAAAGATAGCAAGCGGAGCGAAAAACGCTCTGCTTTAAATCTCAGCACAGCTGAGTGAGCGCGCGTCAAGTTCATCGAGCGTACGCTTGGTAGAGCGGAAAGAGTAAACAGATGTTGATGTTTCCTCCAACGAAAGTTAGGCGAGTTGGGTGTTAGAACGAGTTTGGTGCTCGGAGAGTGAACAACGGTTGTCGGCAGTGCGCGAAATGCGAACGCGAGTAGGAATCTACATATTGCGTCGAACTCTCGTTAAGTAATATAGAAACATACATAATAAAAAAAATTGAAATAAAAGAACGTACACAACAACAAAAATTCATAATCTATATAACACGCGTATATACACAACAGTGATGAAATTATGTTATCTAGCTTGTGATAATGTGAAAGCTCGCACACCAGAGATATAAAGAATCACAATTCGGCTACTATAGAGCGAGTATCTGATATCTAAAAAGAAAGAAACTTAAATGAAACTATCAACATGTGCGTTAGAACGTTTTTGTGACACTCTTTCGAAAGTTCAAATATGGTTCGAGTGGAAAATTTTCTATAGCTATACTTCTATATATCTTATAAGGCAAAACGCTATTAAAAAAAAATAAATAAATTATACTAACGACAAGCGCGTGTCTGCAATGCCTGCTGCTGGGTGCTAATCAAGTCCACAGAAAAAGTCGCCAAATCCGGACAAAGTATTAAAATATCAAATACTATAATTATAACTATAGAAAACAATAGAGGCGTATGTGTAAAAAATATTTTTATTGCAATCAAATTGAAACGCAAGAGAGAGCAAAATGCAATCATTAAAAGCCGATGAGCTGGAGGAGAATCCCGTCGAGCGCGCCAATTGCTTGTCGGAGCTGATGTTCTGGTAAGTCGGAATAAAGTCAACGTTTCGAGCTGATAGTGACAACTGTCTCGAGTTTGTTATTATTGTACTCAGTGGATCGTTTAATTTACATAGTTAGCGCGTTCGAAGGGAGCTCCTCTTACTGAGGGAGCCGCTCGTGAGGCAGTTAGGTATATATATAAAATATATATATATATATATATATATATATATATATAGCTATGCTCATATATCATACTGTACATGCCCATAGATATTTGCATGAATTATTTCAAGTTATTCAATTGGCTGTCACTTAAGGCAACTTTAATATTGACCGTCAGCTAAATGTAGCTATAAGCTAATAAAATCTGATCGGGTTTGGTCAACATGCCATACATATGTACGTACCTCCGTACATATATGTAATGTGATTTGTCGTTAGCGACAACATTGAATCAATATGACTTTGTCTAACGGCCAGCTGAAAGCATAGAGATATGAATCCGATAAAAATAAATATTATCTTTCGAGGTGCTAATAGATCCCTATGCTAATAGCACAGACAAAAAAAAAAGCTTGAACTTTGAAATATGTCATAATTGTTGCAGTTAACTCTAAGATTTTATACGATAGTTGATAGCACAGGAGATACCCTAAATATTTACTAGAGCTGTTCACTAATTTCCACGATCTAGCCAATTGCTTAAAGTAATAATATTAGTTAATAGGACTTTAATAGTCTTAACTGTTTGACTCTATAAGTTCTTCAGTCTTTTGTGTCTTAGATATATTATTTATCTGTCAATAATCATATGAACTGTGATCTAAAGAGCGACTGAAAGTCGAGTAAACTTTCCTAGACCTATCTTAATTATCTTTTCTTGTCATTGTTGTCAACCAAAGCGTCGTCATGTTATCTATTTTATATCTTTGTTGTTTCCATAAAGCTTTGCCATGCCCGTTCTGTTTAAGGGGCGGCAAAAGACACTGGAGCAAACGGATCTCTATAGGCCACTCAAGACACACAAGTCAGGTGAGTGACATGTCCAAGGTATCTTTTTGGATTATTAGTAATAACAAGTGATAATATTATCTCTAGATACGCTTGGCGACCGCCTTTGTTCTGCCTGGGATGAAGAAGTAGCAAATAGATCAGCTGTAAATCTGCCTCCACGTTTGGGGCATGTGGTAAGCCGAGTGTTTGGTTGGCACTTGTTTGTGACGGGCGTTTTACTGGTTACTCAGGAGTTTCTAACCAAGTAAGTTGCTTCTTGAACAGCATACCGCATCATCCATGTCTGATCATAACCATTTTAGAGTAACCCAGCCCATCTGTCTGTTTGGCATGATGTCTTACTTCGCGGGCAAGGATTCGGATCTAATGAAGGCGGAGCTCTATGCAGCTGGACTTATGGCAGGCTCTGTGTTCACCGTCGTTTTTGCCCATCCCTACATGCTTGGCGTTCTTCATCTGGGCATGAAGATGCGCGTGGCTCTTTGCAGCTTAGTCTATCGCAAGGCTCTCCGACTGAGCCGTACTGCGCTGGGTGATACTACAATCGGTCAAGTTGTGAATCTGCTGTCCAATGATGTGGGACGCTTTGACACTGTGCTGATCAACGTACATTATCTATGGATGGCACCCCTAGAGCTCATTGTGATCACCTATTTAATGTACGTACAAGTGAGTACCTTGCCGAAAGATAAGGCTGTTGCTGTTTATTTCTGTAATGCCTATTTCATTTTCAGATAGGAATATCAGCGTTCTTTGGCGTTGCGGTCATGTTACTTATTCTTCCCTTGCAAGCCTTCCTGGGCAAAAAGACATCGGTGCTCCGTTTGCGTACGGCTTTGCGTACCGACGAACGTGTGCGAATGATGAACGAGATTATATCGGGCATTCAGGTGATCAAGATGTACGCCTGGGAGAAGCCATTTGGCAAACTTATAGAACTAACTCGCCGCAAGGAGATGATCTGCATCAAACAAGTGAATTACATACGTGGCATACTCATATCCTTTGCCATGTTTCTCTCTCGCGTATTCGTCTTTGCCAGTCTGGTGGGCTTTGTGCTCCAGGGAAACGTCTTGAATGCTGAAAAAGCCTTCTATATCACTGCCTACTACAACATACTACGCCGCACGGTCACCATGTTCTTTCCACAGGGCATCGGACAGTATGCGGAACTGTTGGTGTCCATCAAGCGTCTGCAGACCTTTATGCATCGGGAGGAGACACAGGTCCAAGACAAATCAATTGATGCTCCGCACTCTACTGTGGCTAGCGACAAGGAAAATGGGTCTCTAATCAACAAGGGTAGTGGCGATGTACCTAAGGCCAATGGGAACCTCGAATCTCTTGTTGACTTTACACAATTCTATGCCAGGTGGAATAGCAAATCCACAGAGAATACCTTGGACAATATTAATCTTAAACTGGGTCGCCGACAGCTGGTAGCTGTGATAGGGCCCGTCGGCGCAGGCAAGTCGAGTCTGATACAATCAATTCTTGGCGAACTGCCCGCTGACAAAGGCAGCCTTAAAGTCAATGGCAGATTCTCCTATGCCGCTCAGGAGCCTTGGCTCTTCACTGGAACTGTTCGTGAAAACATTCTGTTCGGACTAACCCTGGACAAGCATCGCTATCGTACAGTAGTCAAGAAGTGTGCATTAGAACGTGACTTTGAGCTACTTCCTCAAGGAGATAAGACAATCGTTGGTGAGCGGGGAGCTTCTCTCTCAGGTGGACAGAAGGCACGCATCAGCCTGGCAAGAGCTGTGTATCGCAGAGCGGACATATACCTGCTAGACGATCCACTCAGCGCTGTGGATACACATGTGGGTCGTCATCTGTTTGATCAGTGCATGAGAGGGTATTTGAGAAGCGAGTTGGTCATATTGGTGACACATCAACTGCAGTTTCTGGAGCACGCGGATCTTATTGTTATCATGGACAAGGGAAAGATCAGTGCAATGGGAACATATGCGACGATGCAGCGCAGTGGCTTGGACTTTGCTCAACTCTTGACCGATCCCAACAAGACCAAAGAAGGAGATACTGATCAGGACAGCGAGCCTGGTGATATTTGGGATCGTCTCAGCTTAGCTTCACGTAGCAGGCGTGGCAGTAAAACGGATAAATCTAACCAGCCTTCGCGCAATGTCAGCTTTACCTCATTGAGCTCCTTTTCCGAGTCTATTGCCCAGGACCCAGCCATGACCCAACAAGAGACACGTGTCCAGGGCAAGATCAGCCTGGGTTTATACAAGGAATACTTCACAGCAGGCAGTGGTTATCTAATGATATGTTTTATGGTATTCCTCTGCTTGGGTACACAAATTGTGGGCTCCTCAGCAGATGTTTTTCTGTCCTATTGGTGAGATATAAAGAGGTTTCTATCAACAGCAATTGTACTGACATTTTATATTTCTAGGGTTGACAAGAACAAAAACGTTGAAGACAAAGACTCGGATCCAATTGATATATACTACTTCACTGCCCTTAATATAGCTGTCATTGTATTTACTCTGGTGCGGACCATGCTCTTCTACAAGCTGGCCATGCGAAGCTCCACAAAGCTCCATAATGCCATGTTCCGTGGCATAACCAGAGCAGCCATGTACTTCTTCAACACGAATCCTTCGGGTCGAATATTGAATCGGTTTTCGAAGGATCTGGGACAGATAGACGAGCTGCTGCCTACAGTCATGCTAGATGTGGTGCAGATCTTCCTCACCCTGACGGGCATTATTGTTGTAATCTGTATAACCAATCCTTATTATCTCGTTCTCACTCTTGGCCTGGCAATCATCTTCTACTACATTCGAGAGTTCTACTTGAAAACTTCAAGAGATGTTAAGCGATTGGAGGCAGTGGCGAGGTCTCCAATCTATTCCCACATCAGTTCCTCGCTAAATGGACTGCCCACAATTAGAGCCATGGGAGCCCAAAAAGCGCTGATTGCAGAGTTCGACAATCTTCAGGATCTCCACAGCTCCGGCTACTACACCTTCCTGTCCACCAACCGAGCATTTGGCTACTACCTGGACTGCTTCTGCACCTTGTACATAGTGATAATTATACTCAACTACTTCATAAATCCACCCGAAAACTCTGGAGAAGTGGGATTAGCCATTACTCAGGCCATGGGTATGACTGGCATGGTTCAGTGGGGCATGCGACAATCGGCTGAACTGGAGAACACCATGACAGCTGTGGAACGTGTCGTGGAATATGACGAGATCGAACCAGAGGGCGATTATGAATCACAGCCAAGCAAAAAACCTCCTCCCACGTGGCCGGAGCAGGGTCAAATCGTAGCTGACGATCTGAGTCTTCGTTACTTCCCCGATCCGCAGTCCAAGTATGTGCTGAAGTCCCTCAACTTCGAGATCAAACCCATGGAAAAAGTAGGAATTGTAGGTCGCACAGGTGCAGGCAAGTCCTCACTCATCAACGCCCTCTTCCGCCTGTCCTACAACGATGGCTCCATCATCATCGACAATCGCAACACGAACGAACTGGGTCTGCACGATTTGCGCAGCAAGATCTCCATCATACCTCAAGAACCAGTCCTCTTCTCGGGTAGCATGCGTTACAACTTGGATCCATTTGAGGAGTACAGCGACGCCAAGTTATGGGAAGCACTGGAGGAAGTCAAACTGAAGCCTGTCATCAGCGAGCTACCTAGTGGTCTTCAAAGCAAGATTTCAGAGGGTGGCACCAACTTCAGTGTGGGGCAGCGGCAATTAGTGTGCTTAGCACGCGCTATTCTTCGCGAGAATCGTATTCTAGTAATGGATGAGGCTACAGCCAATGTTGATCCACAGACAGATGCGCTCATCCAAGCGACAATAAGAAACAAGTTCAAGGAATGCACAGTGCTGACTATAGCACACAGGCTGAACACGATTATGGACTCGGACAAGGTGATAGTCATGGATGCAGGTCAGATGGTCGAGTTTGGTTCACCATTCGAACTCCTGACAGAATGTGAGACGAAGATCTTTCACAACATGGCCATGGAGACGGGTCAGAGTAGTTTTGACAGGCTGTTAAAGGTTGCGGAGAAGGTAAGCACTAAATTCTGTAACTTTGAGAACCGGTGATAATCAGTTTTATAAAATTACAGGCCCATTTGGAATCACAAAAGCAGAAAACTGCGTAAAACCAATGAATATTCTCTTAAATATTCTCAGTGGCTAGCTTTAAGCGAATCCCTCATAGAAATTTTACTGCTTCTAATTTGATTTTGTATATGTTACTTAAAGTATTATTTCTACAAACTTTAATAATATATTGAAACTAAAAGTTAATAAAATGTGGACACTTTAATCATTTGAAAATTGGGGAAAATGTATATAAAGCTTTAATAATATGTAGATATACCGCTAAGTAAAGCAGTAGAAAAACATTTCGGATTTAAATGCCAATCAAGCAGGTTACATTTACATAACAAACAAAGCAGTGCAGCTGAAATCTGAAAAGCTTTTCTGGTAGCTTATTGTAAATAGCTTATTAGTAAATATTTACTACCTATTTCTTACCAGTGACACTTCATTTATCTTATCGGAAAGTGTTAAAAGTTAATGACTGACAAAAACGTGCTCACCGATAAGACAGCACAATGTGATAAGATGTAAAACTGCTTTGACATTGGGAGCGAAAGCTTTGCAGAGAGCAAAAACTTTATATAAAACCGACAACATCAATCAGATTTCTCAGTTTGACATCGCGTTCTGCAGCCGCTGCGTAAAGAGTTGGTTAATTAAAGTAAATGAAGCGCAACAAATGTTTTTCATTCAACAATTGCATTGAATGGCGAAATAAAGACATATTTATGGCTTGGATACCTAAGTGAAATAGATAAAATAAGCGAAAGTAAAATTTAATTAGTGTTATTATATTCAGCTTTGCACTACAAAATATATATTTAAAAATGATACGAATAAAAGCAGATGAACTGCCGGAGAGCCCACGCGAGCGGAACAATCCATTCTCGGAGCTCATGTTCTGGTGAGTCGAGTTGCAAGACCTTAATTGGTTCATTAATGAGTCCGTCTAAATTGACTTTAATTCTCTATCTATATACGAATGAGTAAATAAAAGTAAACAAAAGATTATAAGTCAAGGTCGTTGTAAGTTCCACTCCAATATGCCCAGTTATTGATAGTACAGGCATAACTAAAAGTCAGCTTTCTGATATCTTATCTCTTATATATTCTATCTCCAATACTCGGCGCCACTTAATTTAAAAAGGAGGCCCACTCTGCTTCTTTCTTATAAGATAACGTTTAAGCTTGTTTAAGCAAACAATAAAGTATTCTCGTTTTCTATTCTATATTGACCGATAATACCTCGAAGCTTTGTCTTTCCCTTGTTATTTAAGGGCCATAAAAAGACACTGGAACAATCAGATTTATATAGACCACTCAAAGAGCACAAATCAGGTAAAATATATTAAGATAACTTAAGATCTAATGAAATTAGTTTTAAATCAAATAGACACACTTGGAGATCGCTTGTCTGCTGCCTGGGACGAAGAACTGCTTCAAAGATCAACTCAAAAGAAGCCGCCTCGTCTGGGACGCGTTTTGGTACGCATATTCGGATGGCATTTATTTTTGACTGGACTGTTGCTCGGCTCCAAAGAATTCCTAACCAAGCAAGTGAAAATAATTGAGATATCGCAGATCGTTTGACTTATGTGTAACTTTTCATAGGGTAACACAACCGATTTGCCTGTTTGGTGTTTTGGCCTATTTTTCGGGCGAGAATCCAAGCCCAATCAAGGCACAATTGTATGCAGTGGCCCTAATAGCTGCTGCCTTACTTTCTGTTATCACAGGACATCCCTGTATGTTAGGAATTATGCATCTGGGCATGAAAATGCGCGTTGCGGTGTGCAGTCTGATCTATCGGAAGGCACTGCGCTTAAGTCATACAGCTCTGGGAGATACTTCCATAGGTCAGATGGTAAACCTCCTGTCCAATGATGTGGGCCGTTTTGACTCAGTCTTGAACAACATACATTATTTATGGCTAGGCCCGCTCGAATTGATTGTTGTGTCTTATCTTATGTATGAAAAGGTGAAGTAAAGCATATCCTATACAGTGCTAACGAGCTACAATGATTTGTTTTTAATATTGTATAACAGATTGGAGCTGCCTGCTTCTTTGGCGTGACCCTAATGCTGCTTTTTCTACCCCTGCAATCGTACCTGGCACGGAGAACCTCAACATTACGTCTGCTAACAGCGTTGCGCACTGACGAACGTGTCCGTATGATGACCGAGATCATATCGGGCATACAAGTAATCAAAATGTACGCCTGGGAGAAGCCCTTCGAAAAAGTTGTCGAGCTTACACGCTACAATGAGATGATCTGCATTAGGCAAATCAACTATATACGTGGTATTCTAATTGGTCTTGGCATGTGTCTGTCCCGCACCTTTACCTTTGTCAGTCTGGTGGGTTTCGTTCTGCTACAAAACATCTTGTCTGCCGGACAGGCCTTCTTCATTACAGCCTACTACAGCTTACTTCAACGAACAGTCACCAATTTCTTCCCCATGAGCATTACTCAATTATTGGAGCTGCTGGTGACCATCAAACGTCTCGAGACCTTTATGCATCGAGAGGAGATTCTGATCAAAGAACAATCAAATGATATTTATATACCCACTTTAGTTACCTGTGCAACCGATAAAGCAATTGATACTCGCGGAGATGGTATAAAGAACAAAACTCATAACGATGCACTCGTTGAATTTACTGAATTTTATGCGAACTGGGATCACAAAATGACTGAGAATACCTTAGGCAATATTAATCTAAGACTGCGTCGCGGGCAGCTGGTAGCTGTGATTGGGTCCGTCGGTGCAGGCAAGTCGAGTCTGATCCAATCTATTCTTGGCGAACTGCCCGCTGACAAAGGCAGCCTTAAAGTCAATGGCAAATTCTCTTATGCTGCTCAGGAGCCTTGGCTCTTCACTGGAACTGTTCGTGAAAACATTCTGTTCGGATTAACCTTGGACAAACTTCGGTATCGAACAGTGGTCAAGAAGTGTGCATTAGAACGTGACTTTGAGCTACTTCCTCAGGGAGATAAGACGATCGTTGGTGAGCGGGGAGCTTCTCTCTCAGGTGGACAGAAGGCACGCATCAGCCTGGCAAGAGCTGTGTATCGTAGAGCGGACATATACCTGCTAGACGATCCACTCAGCGCTGTGGATACACATGTGGGTCGTCATCTGTTTGATCAGTGCATGAGAGGGTATTTGAGAAGCGAGTTGGTCATATTGGTGACACATCAGCTGCAGTTTCTAGAGCACGCAGATCTTATTGTTATCATGGACAAGGGAAAAATCAGTGCAATGGGAACATATGCGACGATGCAGCGCAGTGGCTTGGACTTTGCTCAACTCTTGACCGATCCCAAAAAAATCGTAGAAAGCAACCATGAAGATTTAATCAAAGATAGAGATTCCGTTGATTATACGAAATCATATAACCGACAAACGTCACAAACAGAAAGTATCAGTTCGTTAAGCTCATTGACCGAGTCCATAGGTCACGAAGTGCCCCTGACTCGCCAAGAGACGCGGGTAGAAGGCAAGATTGGCCTGGGAATTTATAGGGAATACTTTACAGCAGGGAGTGGTTGGTTATTAATTAGTCTTCTGCTATTCCTTTGCTTAGGGACACAAATCGTAGGCTCCTCAGCTGATGTTTTTCTCTCCTACTGGTAAGATCAATCTACTTTTCCACTTAACTTAAATTAATTAAAATATACCTATAGGGTTGACAAAAACAAAAACACCGCTAAGAAAGAACCGGACTCGATGGACTTATATTATTTCACGGGAATCAATATAGCAGTTATCGTATTCACCATGGCACGGACCATGCTCTTCTACAAGCTGGCCATGCGAAGCTCCACAAAGCTCCATAATGCCATGTTCCGTGGCATAACCAGAGCAGCCATGTACTTCTTCAACACGAATCCTTCGGGTCGAATATTGAATCGGTTTTCGAAGGATCTGGGACAAATAGACGAGCTGCTGCCTACAGTCATGCTAGATGTGGTGCAGATCTTCCTCACCCTGACGGGCATTATTGTTGTAATCTGTATAACCAATCCTTATTATCTCGTTCTCACTCTTGGCCTGGCAATCATCTTCTACTACATTCGAGAGTTCTACTTGAAAACTTCAAGAGATGTTAAGCGATTGGAGGCAGTGGCGAGGTCTCCAATCTATTCCCACATCAGTTCCTCGCTCAATGGATTGCCCACAATTAGAGCCATGGGAGCCCAAAAAGCGCTGATTGCAGAGTTCGACAATCTTCAGGATCTCCACAGCTCCGGCTACTACACCTTCCTGTCCACCAACCGAGCATTTGGCTACTACCTGGATTGCTTCTGCACCTTATACATAGTCGTTATTATACTTAACTACTTCATGAATCCACCCGAAAACTCTGGAGAAGTGGGATTAGCCATTACTCAGGCCATGGGTATGACTGGCATGGTTCAGTGGGGCATGCGACAATCAGCTGAGCTGGAAAACACCATGACAGCTGTGGAACGTGTCGTGGAATATGACGAGATCGAACCAGAGGGCGATTATGAATCACAGCCAAGCAAAAAACCTCCTCCCACGTGGCCGGAGCAGGGTCAAATCGTAGCTGACGATCTGAGTCTTCGTTACTTCCCCGATCCGCAGTCCAAGTATGTGCTGAAGTCCCTCAACTTCGAGATCAAACCCATGGAAAAAGTAGGAATTGTAGGTCGCACAGGTGCAGGCAAGTCCTCACTCATCAACGCCCTCTTCCGCCTGTCCTACAACGATGGCTCCATCATCATCGACAATCGCAACACGAACGAACTGGGTCTGCACGATTTGCGCAGCAAGATCTCCATCATACCTCAAGAACCAGTCCTCTTCTCGGGTAGCATGCGTTACAACTTGGATCCATTTGAGGAGTACAGCGACGCCAAGCTATGGGAAGCACTGGAGGAAGTCAAACTGAAGCCTGTCATCAGCGAGCTACCTAGTGGTCTTCAAAGCAAGATTTCAGAGGGTGGCACCAACTTCAGTGTGGGGCAGCGGCAATTAGTGTGCTTAGCACGCGCTATTCTTCGCGAGAATCGTATTCTAGTAATGGATGAGGCTACAGCCAATGTTGATCCACAGACAGATGCGCTCATCCAAGCGACAATAAGAAACAAGTTCAAGGAATGCACAGTGCTGACTATAGCACACAGGCTGAACACGATTATGGACTCGGACAAGGTGATAGTCATGGATGCAGGTCAGATGGTCGAGTTTGGTTCACCATTCGAACTCCTGACAGAATGTGAGACGAAGATCTTTCACAACATGGCCATGGATACGGGTCATAGCAACTTTGATACGTTACTCAAAGTTGCGGAAAAGGTTAGCTTACTTTATCTAATAGTTATGAAATGGTATGTACATAATAATACCCATTTTTTATTTATAGGCCCATTTAAAATCTCAGAAACATTGGAATTAGCTTTAATTAAATAACCATAAAATTGTATTTCGTATCCTCAAAGAAAACTGATGCATAAACAAAGTAGTTCAAATTTAACATATGTAGAGAACGCCGCTCGTTCATTACGAGAAGTCGTAAAGCTCATATTAAAAATTACGTGGAGAGCATATCGTCAGAGAGCGAAAGCTGCAAAAAGAGCTTTAAAGAGAGCAAAAGTTTTCTTCTCCTATAAATGGCGGCTTGTAGTCAGCTGTTGCTTAGAATGTGTTCGACGACTGGAGAGTGTACAGTTATCTGTAAAATGTGTTTTGACAGCCTTAATAATAAGGTGAAGTGTTCATAAAAACAATCAAATATTTTAACATTCATATCTGAATGATCGTTGTTAAAATTAATTAATTACATATAGTTGAAGTGTGTTCTTATTGTTTACTTATGATAATCAAGTCAAGATATATAATATATGTCAGAAGCAACAACATCAGCATCTCTGACACAATCGCACACCACATTGCACAGTGGAAAGTTTTCGCACTTGTAAAGAAAAATTCCTGAAGTGACGTACAAGCGGATAAATCGGGAAAATATATTTATTTAGAATATTAGATATAAATTGAATGTTTTTGTGTTTAAAGTGTGTATGTTTGTTTAAGTAAATAAATAAGAAACAAAAAATAATAACAAAATGCAATCAATAAAAGCGGATGAACTGCCTGAAAATCCGCGCGAACGGAGTAATCCATTTTCGGAACTATTTTTTTGGTAAGTCGGAATTTCATCAGTTTTGTTGGATAAAAGGAAAACAGATGCCAGATGCCAGATTTAATGGGCTTAGGTTTCATGTTATCCCATTATCTTATCTTTCATAGTGTTATAATATACAAAAGGTCTTAGAAAATGTTGAAATAAACGGCTATGGAAAACAACTGCGCGTAAGTCTAAACTTCCAACTGTTGTTCACACTCATGTACATATCTGAAACATATGGTTCTCTCATATAATAAAATAAAATAAAATATTAGAGTTATGTTTTTAACTGAAAGGGATTTTTGTTGACCTAAAGATATGTTCTTGTTATCTTCTGCATTTATCTTAAAGCTTTGTGTTTCCGGTAATGTTCAAGGGCCGGAAGAAGACCTTGGAGCAACCAGATCTATACCAGCCGCTAAATGAGCACAAATCGGGTGAGTTTGGAAATAAGTAAATTTATATATCAAATATAACTATAATATAACAGAATGACTTGAAATTTATTAAAAGTTTGCTTAAATAATTCATTAACTGTGTAATGTGTGTTGAAAAATACCGAAATTTTGAACTGAAATAGTTAGATAGATCGATTAATTCCTGTGGGTTATCGACAGTTTTAATTTAATACTATCGAATGGCCGAAATATAATAACTAGCAAACAGTTCACAGACGAAGATTTATATACGAATATACATATATCATGTGTGGCTTACATACAACTAATCTTGCAACACTACTCCCCACTCCACAGAGACACTCGGAGACCGTTTATGCGCTGCTTGGGATGAAGAAGTCATTCAAAGATCGGCTCAGAGTAAACAGCCACGCTTGGGTCGCGTTATGATTCGCGTGTTTGGTTGGCATGTGTTCATAACTGGACTACTGCTGGGAGTCAGAGAATTCGCAACGAAGTAAGTAGACCTCGAGAAAGTTTGTAATATTTATTAATGCGGCATTCCTTATAGGGTAACGCAGCCAATGTGCCTCTATGGTATTATGACATACTTTTCTGGCGACGATCCAGATCCCTTAAAGGCGCAACTATATGCAGCGGGTCTCATAGCTGCCTCTGTACTTTCCGTTGTTAGCGGACATCCATTTCTATTAGGTGTTCTGCATCTGAGCATGAAAATGCGTATTGCGCTGTGTAGTCTGATCTATAGAAAAGCATTGCGCTTAAGCCATACAGCTCTGGGAGATACATCCGTAGGTCAGGTGGTGAACCTGTTGTCCAACGATGTGGGACGCTTTGATTTGTTTTTCTTTAACGGACATTTTCTGTGGCTAGCTCCTTTGGAACTGTTTGTAGTTACATTTTTAATGTATCAAAAGGTAAGTCGCTGAAAAGAATTTTAATTTCTCTACTATTGTACAAATAATTACAGATCGGAGTGGCTGCCTTCTTTGGCGTTACTATAATGCTGCTATTCCTACCCTTTCAAGCCTATTTGGCGAAGAAGACATCAGTTTTGCGCCTAATGACTGCGTTGCGTACGGACGAACGTGTACGAATGATGAACGAGTTTATCTCCGGCATCCAAGTAATCAAGATGTACGCCTGGGAGAAGCCACTAGGCAAGTTAATCGAGCTAATGCGTGGCAAGGAGATGACCTGCATCAAAAAAGTCAATTATATAAGAGGTATCCTCATTGCCTTTGGTATGTGCCTGTCCCGCACCCTGACCTTTGTTAGTCTGGTGGGTTTCGTGCTATTAGAAAGCGTATTGAATGCTAGCGACGCATTCTTCATCACAGCCTATTACAACTTGCTACAGCGAGCGGTCACCAACTTTTTTCCACTTAGCATTACACAGCTAGCAGAGATCAGAGTGTCCATCAAGCGTCTGGAGACTTTTATGCATAGAGTGGAGACTCAGGTTCAGGACAAATCGAACGCAATAACTGCACCTAGTTTCACTAAAGAAGATACCGTTAAGGAAAATGATGAAATGATAAGCAATGACAATATAAATGCATCACAGAAGGATAACGATGAGGAGACGCTCGTGGAATTCAACCAATTCCATGCCAAGTGGAATGCAACAGCAACAGAAAATACTCTAAGCAATATCAATCTGAAATTGGGTCGCCGACAGCTGGTAGCAGTTATAGGACCCGTTGGCGCAAGCAAGTCGAGTCTGATACAATCAATTCTTGGCGAACTGCCCGCTGACAAAGGCAGCCTTAAAGTCAATGGCAGATTCTCCTATGCCGCTCAGGAGCCTTGGCTCTTCACTGGAACTGTTCGTGAAAACATTCTGTTCGGATTAACCTTGGACAAACTTCGGTATCGAACAGTGGTCAAGAAGTGTGCATTAGAACGTGACTTTGAGCTACTTCCTCAGGGAGATAAGACGATCGTTGGTGAGCGGGGAGCTTCTCTCTCAGGTGGACAGAAGGCACGCATCAGCCTGGCAAGAGCTGTGTATCGTAGAGCGGACATATACCTGCTAGACGATCCACTCAGCGCTGTGGATACACATGTGGGTCGTCATCTGTTTGATCAGTGCATGAGAGGGTATTTGAGAAGCGAGTTGGTCATATTGGTGACACATCAACTGCAGTTTCTGGAGCACGCGGATCTTATTGTTATCATGGACAAGGGAAAAATCAGTGCAATGGGAACATATGCGACTATGCAGCACAGTGGCTTGGACTTTGCACAACTGTTGACCGATATAAACAAGGCCGATGAAAAGGCGCTGGTTGAGCAGAAGAGCGATGCTGGAGACCACGTTAGCTTGCACTCAAAAACCAGCCGTCAAGCTTCACGCACTGACAGTTTCGTCTCTCTGAGTTCGCTGGCAGACTCAATCATTCAGGATACAACCATGGTACCGCAGGAGACGCGCGTTGAAGGCAAAGTTAGCTTGGGTCTCTATAAGGAATACTTTTCGTCGGGCAGCGGCTGGTTCCTGATATCTTTTATGATTGTTCTTTGTATCGGCACACAAGTTGTGGTTTCTGCAGCGGATGTATTTCTCTCCTACTGGTAAGTGTGACATCGCTTAAAAACTTGGATAGATAATAACGATCATATTTTTAACCTAGGGTTGACAAAACTAAGAATAACGCGGACATCAATAACGATCCCTCCGATATGTACTACTTCACAGCACTTAATGTTGCTGCAATTGTGCTCAGCGTAATGCGTCCAATTCTCTTCTACACGATGGCGAGGCGCAGCTCGATTCAAATGCATAATTCCATGTTTAGGGGAATTGCCAGAGCAGCTATGTACTTCTTTAATACGAATCCATCGGGTCGCATATTGAATCGCTTCTCCAAGGATCTGGGTCAGCTGGATGAAGTACTGCCAACAATTATGCTGGATGTGATGCAGATCTTCCTCACATTGGCAGGCGTCATTGTGGTCATCTGCATAACCAATCCTTACTATCTGATACTAACATTTGCACTAGGTGTCATCTTCTATTATCTCAGAGAATTCTATCTAAAGACCTCGAGAGACGTAAAGCGTTTGGAGGCTGTTGCCCGATCTCCCATCTATTCCCATCTGAGTACCTCCCTTAATGGACTAACTACAATCAGAGCACTGGGCGCACAGAAGGCACTAATTGCCGAGTTTGATAATCTTCAAGATCTCCACAGCTCCGGATACTACACTTTTCTGTCCACGAGTCGTGCCTTTGGCTACTATGTGGATTTCTTTTGTACTTTATACACAGTCATTATTGTACTTAACTACTTTTTCAACCCACCCACCAAGCCCGGAGAGGTTGGGCTGGCCATTACTCAGGCCATGAGTTTGGCGGGGATGGTGCAGTATGGCATGACCCAATCCGCCGAATTGGACACCACCATGACTGCAGTGGAGCGCGTATTGGAATATGATGATATTGAGCCTGAAGGCGAATTTGAATCCCAACCAAGCAAAAAGCCTCCTCTCACATGGCCAGAGCAAGGTAAAATTGTAGCTGACGATCTCAGTCTTCGTTACTTCCCCGATCCGCAGTCAAAGTATGTGCTGAAGTCCCTCAACTTCGAGATCAAACCCATGGAAAAAGTAGGAATTGTGGGTCGCACAGGTGCAGGCAAGTCCTCACTCATCAACGCCCTCTTCCGCCTGTCCTACAACGATGGCTCCATCATCATCGACAGTCGCAACACGAACGAACTGGGTCTGCACGACCTGCGCAGCAAAATCTCTATTATACCTCAGGAGCCAGTGCTCTTTACGGGTAGCATGCGCTACAATTTGGACCCATTTGAGGAGTACAGCGACGACAAGCTGTGGGATGCGCTGGAGGAGGTCAAGTTGAAACCCGTCATCAGCGAATTTCCAAGTGGACTTCAGAGCAAGATTTCAGAGGGCGGCAGTAATTTTAGTGTGGGTCAGAGGCAACTAGTATGTCTCGCACGTGCAATACTTCGCGAAAATCGCATCCTCGTAATGGATGAGGCCACAGCCAATGTGGATCCCCAGACAGATGCGCTCATCCAAGCGACTATAAGAAACAAGTTCAGGGAATGCACAGTGCTGACAATAGCCCATAGGCTGAACACGGTAATGGATTCGGACAAGGTGATAGTCATGGATGCAGGTCAGATGGTCGAATTTGGCTCACCGTACGAGCTGCTAACAGAATGTGAGACAAAGATCTTCCATAGCATGGTTATGGAGACGGGTCAGAATAGCTACGATAATTTGTTTAGGATAGCGGAGAAGGTTAGTACTCCATTCTGTGAAAGATAATATACATATAAGTAATTTCCAATATCTATTTATAGGCCTATCTGGATTCAAAGAAGTTGAAAGCTGCATAGGGTCGATGAATAAATCATATGCGTTTCAATGCTCACTAATGCCTTAAGTATACATATATTTGTATATATATATATATATATATATCAAAAATGCAGTAAGCATACTATTACAATTAAATAAATGTATTGAATATATTATGAGAATATTACATTTTTCTTTTAGTCGTTATTTTTGCTACCAACAATAAATTAAAATTTGTATATTATTGTTTTGCAAATATGAAAATTATTAAAATAAAATAATTTGTCATCTCTTTTCATTATAATATCATTTGACTATCTTATCAGCTAGTAAATTAAAGATAATACCCCAGAAAACCTATTGGCCGATAAGAATTACAAATAATCTAGGAAAACCTACGGAAGGCAAGCTTTAAAGCTCCCAATGAGAGCACAATTTGCTCGAGACAAGCTTAACGTAAAAGAGCGAAAGCTCTATGGAAAGCGCCTGCAACAGTTGTCTGTTTCCATAAAAGGCGACAGTTGGTCAGCTGGCATGTAGAACGTATTCGGAGGCCGGCGGGTTAACAACTGAGTGTAAACAGCTTACGACGCGAATATTCGCGACGAATTGTGTTAATATATAAATATTCTTATCTGGATATTTTAGTGTATAAGTTATACATATACAAAATATGATTGTTTTGTTTAATTCTTAAGGCAGCATTGATTTGGTAAATATATTGTGCGATATAGCACCAGCATCTCTAATGCAAAAAACCGGCAGAGTGGCACAGTGAAATATTTTTGTAATTGTATAAAGTAAATTCGATAGAATTGCCTCGCACACGCACCCCAGCTAAATGAATATATATATATATGTAGAATCGAATATATATTGAATGTGTGATTTGTTGTAACTGAATACTTATATGGTTGCCCACAAGTGCAAATTGAATTTGTTTTTTCGATGTAACTAAATAAAAAGAAAACAAAATGCAAACAACAAAAGCAGATGAGCTACCCGAAAACCCGCGTGAACGAAGCAATCCGTTTTCTGAACTTATGCTTTGGTAAGTCTGAAATCTTAACATAATAATTTAATATGGACTATTATGACAAGACATTTCATGGTATATATTCTTTAATTTCATATAATTATTAAAAGAACACAATGAATGAGCATAATTGTCTAGATATAACATTATCTTATCTTTCATTGTTAAAATATACAAATAATTTTATTTGTTAGTTGTTGAGGTATGCAAATAGATGTGTTTGACAACTGCACGTCATTGTGAGCTAGCAACTATAGGTCATATTCAGATGGCCTGTATAGAGACTAGCTAAGTTGATGTATGTCTAACAGTAAAAATTGGATTTTAATTGACTTATATTCTTGTTATCTAATAATAGACATCGTTTTCATATGCTTCACAGTTCAGTTTTGTAGATAGGACTCAAACTTTATTATTTCTTAAAGGTCTCCATATAATATTTTTTTATAATTGTTTTAATCTTTATTTATATTTATTTTTGCTAACGTATAGCTTTGCCTTTCCGGTTTTGTTTAAGGGCCGTAAGAAGACACTAGAGCAGTCAGATCTATACCGGCCATTAAAAGAGCACAAGTCAGGTAAGTAAAACAATTAGAAGCATATTGCACAATAATCATGATATCTTTTCAATGACACGCACTTATCTTAGCTGTTTAAATTTAAGCACTTAACCAGTTCATGAACCTTCTGTGTGAACTCAGTTCATTGTATTTTAATAGGAATAGGAAATATGCTTCTTCTCCTGTCCTGTTATCGGCTATTTCGATATTATCGATTGGCTTTTTTATATTATTTAAAAAAAGTTTGTGTTGATTGTGGTAGGTTCATTGTAGTCCGATAGCAAATAAATTGCGCCATGTGAAGGATGTTGTCATATTATCGTTTATTTTTGCAATATTTGCATATAAATATATAAATATATATATATATATATATATATATATATATATATATATATATATATATATATATATATATATATATGTATATACAAATATATTACTGTGTCAACAGATACACTAGGTGATCGCTTGTGCGCTGCCTGGGATGAGGAAGTTAGTCAAAGATCGGCTCAAAAACAACAGCCGCGATTGGGGCGCGTCGTGATTCGCGTGTTTGGTTGGCATTTATTTGTTACTGGATTATTGCTTGGACTCAGGGAGTTCGTTGTTAAGTGAGTAAATTTGCACGGTATTTTTATCCTTATATATTGATAATATTTTCATTGTAGAGTAACTCAGCCAATGTGCCTGTATGGTATTATGGCATACTTTTCGGGGGAGGACCCAGACCCTTTAAAGGCACAACTATATGCAGCGGGTCTAATTACTGCCTCTGTACTTTCTGTTGTTACTGGACACCCGTTTATACTAGGTCTTCTCCATTTGGGCATGAAAATGCGCGTTGCGCTGTGTAGTCTGGTTTATCGAAAAGCATTACGATTAAGTCACACAGCTTTAGGCGACACCTCGATAGGTCAAGTAGTGAACCTCTTGTCCAACGACGTGGGTCGCTTCGATTTGATCCTAATTAATGTTCATTTCTTATGGTTGGCCCCACTGGAATTATTCGTGGTTACATTCTTGATGTTTCAAAAGGTAGATTAAACAATGAGTCTTATAAATTCATATTAATATAAAAATATTTACAGATCGGTGTCGCGTCCTTCTTTGGCGTTGCTATAATGTTGCTTTTCCTTCCTTTTCAAGCCTATTTGGCGAAGAAGACATCAGTTTTGCGCCTAATGACTGCGTTGCGTACGGACGAACGTGTACGAATGATGAACGAGTTTATCTCCGGCATCCAAGTAATCAAGATGTACGCCTGGGAGAAGCCACTAGGCAAGTTAATCGAGCTAATGCGTGGCAAGGAGATGATCTGCATCAAAAAAGTCAATTATATAAGAGGTATCCTCATTGCCTTTGGTATGTGCCTGTCCCGCACCCTGACCTTTGTTAGTCTGGTGGGTTTCGTGCTATTAGAAAGCGTATTGAATGCTAGCGACGCATTCTTCATCACAGCCTATTACAACTTGCTACAACGAGCGGTCACAAACTTTTTTCCACTTAGCATTACACAGCTAGCAGAGATCAGAGTGTCCATCAAGCGTCTGGAGACTTTTATGCATAGAGTGGAGACTCAGGTTCAGGACAAATCGAACGCAATAACTGCACCTAGTTTCACTAAAGAAGATACCGTTAAGGAAAATGATGAAATGATAAGCAATGACAATATAAATGCATCACAGAAGGATAACGATGAGGAGACGCTCGTGGAATTCAACCAATTCCATGCCAAGTGGGATACAACAGCAACAGAAAATACTCTAAGCAATATCAATCTGAAATTGGGTCGCCGACAGCTGGTAGCAGTTATAGGACCCGTTGGCGCAAGCAAGTCGAGTCTGATACAATCAATTCTTGGCGAACTGCCCGCTGACAAAGGCAGCCTTAAAGTCAATGGCAGATTCTCCTATGCCGCTCAGGAGCCTTGGCTCTTCACTGGAACTGTTCGTGAAAACATTCTGTTCGGATTAACCTTGGACAAACTTCGGTATCGAACAGTGGTCAAGAAGTGTGCATTAGAACGTGACTTTGAGCTACTTCCTCAGGGAGACAAGACGATCGTTGGTGAGCGGGGAGCTTCTCTCTCAGGTGGACAGAAGGCACGCATCAGCCTGGCAAGAGCTGTGTATCGCAGAGCGGACATATACCTGCTAGACGATCCACTCAGCGCTGTTGATACACATGTGGGTCGTCATCTGTTTGATCAGTGCATGAGAGGGTATTTGAGAAGCGAGTTGGTCATATTGGTGACACATCAGCTGCAGTTTCTGGAGCACGCAGATCTTATTGTTATCATGGACAAGGGAAAGATCAGTGCAATGGGAACATATGCGACGATGCAGCACAGTGGCTTGGACTTTGCACAACTGTTGACCGATATAAACAAGGCCGATGAAAAGGCGCTGGATGAGCAGAAGAGCGATGCTGGAGACCACGTGAGCTTGCACTCAAAAACCAGCCGTCAAGCTTCACGCACTGACAGTTTCGTCTCTCTGAGTTCGCTGGCAGACTCAATCATTCAGGATACAACCATGGTACCGCAGGAGACGCGCGTTGAAGGCAAAGTTAGCTTGGGTCTCTATAAGGAATACTTTTCGTCGGGCAGCGGCTGGTTCCTGATATCTTTTATGATTGTTCTTTGTATCGGCACACAAGTTGTGGTTTCTGCAGCGGATGTATTTCTCTCCTACTGGTAAGTGTGACATCGCTTAAAAACTTGGATAGATAATAACGATCATATTTTTAACCTAGGGTTGACAAAACTAAGAATAACGCGGACATCAATAACGATCCCTCCGATATGTACTACTTCACAGCACTTAATGTTGCTGCAATTGTGCTCAGCGTAATGCGTCCAATTCTCTTCTACACGATGGCGAGGCGCAGCTCGATTCAAATGCATAATTCCATGTTTAGGGGAATTGCCAGAGCAGCTATGTACTTCTTTAATACGAATCCATCGGGTCGCATATTGAATCGCTTCTCCAAGGATCTGGGTCAGCTGGATGAAGTACTGCCAACAATTATGCTGGATGTGATGCAGATCTTCCTCACATTGGCAGGCGTCATTGTGGTCATCTGCATAACCAATCCTTACTATCTGATACTAACATTTGCACTAGGTGTCATCTTCTATTATCTCAGAGAATTCTATCTAAAGACCTCGAGAGACGTAAAGCGTTTGGAGGCTGTTGCCCGATCTCCCATCTATTCCCATCTGAGTACCTCCCTTAATGGACTAACTACAATCAGAGCACTGGGCGCACAGAAGGCACTAATTGCCGAGTTTGATAATCTTCAAGATCTCCACAGCTCCGGATACTACACTTTTCTGTCCACGAGTCGTGCCTTTGGCTACTATGTGGATTTCTTTTGTACTTTATACACAGTCATTATTGTACTTAACTACTTTTTCAACCCACCCACCAAGCCCGGAGAGGTTGGGCTGGCCATTACTCAGGCCATGAGTTTGGCGGGGATGGTGCAGTATGGCATGACCCAATCCGCCGAATTGGACACCACCATGACTGCAGTGGAGCGCGTATTGGAATATGATGATATTGAGCCTGAAGGCGAATTTGAATCCCAACCAAGCAAAAAGCCTCCTCTCACATGGCCAGAGCAAGGTAAAATTGTAGCTGACGATCTCAGTCTTCGTTACTTCCCCGATCCGCAGTCAAAGTATGTGCTGAAGTCCCTCAACTTCGAGATCAAACCCATGGAAAAAGTAGGAATTGTGGGTCGCACAGGTGCAGGCAAGTCCTCACTCATCAACGCCCTCTTCCGCCTGTCCTACAACGATGGCTCCATCATCATCGACAGTCGCAACACGAACGAACTGGGTCTGCACGACCTGCGCAGCAAAATCTCTATTATACCTCAGGAGCCAGTGCTCTTTACGGGTAGCATGCGCTACAATTTGGACCCATTTGAGGAGTACAGCGACGACAAGCTGTGGGATGCGCTGGAGGAGGTCAAGTTGAAACCCGTCATCAGCGAATTTCCAAGTGGACTTCAGAGCAAGATTTCAGAGGGCGGCAGTAATTTTAGTGTCGGTCAGAGGCAACTAGTATGTCTCGCACGTGCAATACTTCGCGAAAACCGCATCCTCGTAATGGATGAGGCCACAGCCAATGTGGATCCCCAGACAGATGCGCTCATCCAAGCGACTATAAGAAACAAGTTCAGGGAATGCACAGTGCTGACAATAGCCCATAGGCTGAACACGGTAATGGATTCGGACAAGGTGATAGTCATGGATGCAGGTCAGATGGTCGAGTTTGGCTCACCGTACGAGCTGCTAACAGAATGTGAGACAAAGATCTTCCATAGCATGGTTATGGAGACGGGTCAGAGCAGCTTTGATAGTCTACTGTCGGTCGCAGAGAAGGTTAGTATTTTGCATTATTACATATATTATAAATTAATCACTTATATCAATCAATTACAGGCCCATTTCGATTCACAGAAGCTTAAAACTGCCTAGCATTACTTAAATGAAAATGTTTTACTTGAGTATTATCTTTACGGTAATTTGAATAAAACCCGAATCTTTAAAATTACAATTTCCCTTAAGTGTTTTAAATAAAAAATATGACCATTCAACTGAACCTTTATTCAATTCATAAGCACTTAAATTTTCGGAACATTCAAAATAGTGACAGATTTTCAAACCTGGGCTTGACCCAGTTGAATCTTTGACTTCCTCTTCCAGCTCAGCATGGGCAGCGTAGTCAACGGTATGGCGCTCAGAAGTTGCTTTGGTAGAAAAGAGAATGCGGCCAAAAGCATGGGCAAGCTATGCGCGATAAGCTGCTGAGAGAGCGAATTGCGTACACTGCGCCAGGAACCATGGTTACGCACAAAGAAGAAAAAGTACAGGCACAACACATCACAAATCAGGAACAAGCTAATAAAAATGCCATTGACATTGTGGCGGGCATAGGTACGAAAGGCATACAAGCTACACACAATAATAATTATGGGTATCATCAGCTTCAGCGCGTAGAGGAAAACAATTAAAACTGTAGAGCAGTCGGTTACAAAAATGCGGGTAAAGCTTATATCAAATGCCCCGATGTTTAGCATATTCCCAGTGCCAATCATCGATAAATGGGTATATACAAGTATTAGCACAGCAAAGCGATAAATTTTGTTAATGTGTTCCTCCGAAGATAGGGATTTGTCTGGTTTCTCCTCATCCTCCCCCTCCTCATCTTCACCTTCATCTTCCTCACTGTCTGACGAATGCTTATCTTCTGCGTCCACCTGCATTCCCAGCAGGAACTCTGTGCAAAGCAATTGTATAAATATAGACTCATAAGTGACGCTTATCAAAGTGTACACGGTGCTCAAATTGAAGAGTATCAGCTGTACACGACGACGCGGCGTCCTCGTATCACTATAGGGTATAGAGATGAATGCATACAGTAAATAGCTCCAGATAGCGCCCTGCAGCACGCAACTAATCTCATTCTTGCAGAGGCGCTCATGGACCAAGTAGGCACCTAACAACAGGGCACCGACATTGCTTAGCCAGACTCTACCGGAGTGCCGCTCGTTCAGCAGCAGTGGACGCAATATGGTCACCAGCATACTTAGCACGAGCAATATCATCGTATTGAATCCAAAGTTGGGCCGCTTTATCGTGAGCCCGGTCAACATCACAACCAGTGCCACCCACAACCAAAATCGTATCCTAGGCGCTCGAGTAAAGGCTCGTCCATTGTTCGCACAGACCGCAATCAGATAACCCAGCGCAATGAGTGGCTTGAAAAAGTACGTGGCAATAAGCAGTATCACGGTGCCGCCAACCCAGGCCAGTTGAACGAGCGGCACATACATGCAGCTATATTGCGTACCTTGCTCCCGCAGTGCCAATGCCCAAACGGGCAGCGGCACCAACAGATAGAAACTTGTGCTCTTAGGGATGTGATGCAAAAAGCACGTCAGCAACACGAACACTTCCATCAGCAGAAGTATGCCATTTGCGATGGACAGCCACGCCCGTTTGGGCGTATTCGCAGGGCGTGCCTGCTTGGCCAGCAGATAGAAGAACCAACCCATATAGGTAAGCATACAGGCCACCACAAGTGGCACGTGATAGTATACCCTGTAGTATTCCAGGTATTCCAGTGACAAATGTATTATTTTCTGACTATACAGTATCGCCTCATTGATACAGCCTCTCTGCATCTGATTGTTGATCTGCTCATGGTACTGGCTTATGCGTCGTGAGTCCAAACGCTCAAATCTGGGCAACCATTTATAAATGTAACTACGCTTTTCCTGCTTCAGTACGCACTCAACCTGCGCCAATATCTGGCGAGCATTCAGATACATAGATTGTGCCTCATACAATTGGCTGACATTCATCATGCCCGTGACCAACGTGGCACGATTATTCATTGGGGGCGGCATTCCAATCAGGGCCGACATCAAAGGCGCCAGCTGTTCCTGCCTCAGCTCTTGCAATTGCATCGGAGTGTTATTGCTCTTCGAGGCATAGATATCCTTAAAAGGGGACTCGATTCGCTCGATGCCAGCGCCCCAAAAGATAAATGGCATCTCAATCTCAAATAAACTGTCTTCACCGTACATACCTGAAAAAGCAACATCAACTTTACCAATGCGTAAGTTATGCATGTTCATTATGAACTAACCCAAGTTACTTATGATCATTGTAAATTTGACTTGAATGTCAAAGATTTACCACCTACCTTCATCGGTCATGCCATGATCGGATGTCAGAAGATATACCGTTCGCTGATCCCCGAAATATTGCTCAAATAACTCGTATAGATCAGCAACAATTATCTCAGTATGGTTGAGAGCATTGAAAAACTCGTCGCTATTCGGATCGAGCTCGTTTTCGCTGCCAACTAGATCATCAAAATCAACAAGGAAGACGGATGGCACTGTCCAATTATCCACTGATCCAGACAGAAACTTACGCACCTTATCGTACAACAACTTGTGTCTATGCTTATTTCCCTTCAAATCCGATTCGGTATGCAGATCCAAATGGACTTCATGGTTAGGCAGGTATTTTAAAAATTTCAACACAGAATTCGAGCCCCAGGCCCAAGAAGAGCCCATCGTTCGATTAAACACCGTATCAAAGACTGATGGATTTCTTTTAAAGTTGAACAAGGCTGCTTCAGCATCCTCCTGAAAGCCACCAAAGATGGATATGTGGCCGGGCCGACTTTCGGTTGGAGCTTTCCCGTGCGATATACCAGCCAGGCCATGCTCCATAAAGAGATGTTGCAAATTGGGCACAGCGTTCCACTTGTTCCTGTATAATGATTCCGCCCGCAGGCCATCGATAAGAAATACAACCAGACGATCCGCAGGCGGCTCCAAGCCTAAAGTACGATGTCCACTCTGCGGTTGCATGCCATTGATAATCGAGCTTTGGTAATAGATCAGCTTAATAAATCCGAGCAGCAATACATGCACTAACAGAGCCAAATATTTCCACATTTTCCAAAAATAACAATAAAATAAAAAACTGTACTGTTACATATATGTCTTATTAATGATTGAAAGTGTTAAGAAGAATTGTTCTCATAGAGGAAAAGCCAAAGCTTCCTTGACTAGGAAATACCCTACAGCCTACTCTGAATTGCTGAGTTGGAACAATTGCTAACTTTTCTTTAAATATGACTTCTTTATTCGGAGAGGAATGGATATCGTAGAGCTTGGTATACTTCTGACATTAGCTCAGAATGAGCTTACTTAACTTAAGTTTCACATCTATTTAATCGCAATAAATTCATAAAATTTTTCAAATTTTAATAACATCTGTCTCCCAAGTAGCTCGATTTATTAGTTCATCACATACAAATAAAAAGACAGGTGGACGGAAAAGTAGAGAGAGAGCTTGGCTCCACCGTTAACTGTAAGATTTTATGTACTTTATGGGGTCAACTACATCCCACTACACCCTATCAGATACATGCATTTAAATAAACAAAAATTAAAGCTAAGAGTGCTGGGGAGAGCAGGGTTCAGGGTATTTACTAGTCGGACCATGCCGACTTTTTTTGCCGTATTCAAAATAAAAAACTTTTTGTTTTTAAATAAATAAATTTAAATAAAAGTATCAATAAAAAAACATAAAAATGATGTTGATGAAAGCTAGCTTAGATTACTATATACACCTCACCTTAAAAGTTCTCCCCAATAGGGAAATTTAAACATTTGACAAGTTAATTTATTTTTGTTATAAACTTTTCATCATGTATTTTACCTACTGGTATGCTTTTGCTGTGCAGATGCTGCTGCTAAGCTCCGCATACGTTATATACTTCCAGTGCACGCTGCTTAGAGGATTGGAGCCGCAGAAGACATTGTTGACAGAGCCTCCAGCCAATCGTTTGGTCATCTTCATCGTTGATGGACTCACTGTGAAAGCCTTCTTCGAGCAACGCTGCAGGCATGTTCCGCAGTTGAGGCAGATATTTATGCGTCAGGGCTTGGTTGGTATTAGTCGTGGACGTGTGGCTAAGAAAGGAAATGCAGCCCAATTGACATATTTCTCTGGTTGCTATGAGGATTATCTGGCTGCAATGCATGGCATGGCCATCGATACAATCTTCAATCGGAGCCGAAGCACCTTTGCCTGGAGCTCAGCGGAAATGGAAGGTCATTTTGAGTCTGCTAACGTTATGGGCTTGGTCATGCTGGACGAGTGGACATTTAGTGCAGTAAGGAGTTTTGTCATATACGAATCCTTCCAGATGCAGAATCTCACGGGTGTGGTGTTCTACGTCCAACTGCAAGATCTGCAAGTATCCAAGGGATATCGAACATATCTGGAGCAATTTAACAAAACACAACATGAAATTTTGACTACTTACAACGTATTTGAACGTACCTTTCGGGATCAACGCACTGCATATTTGCTGACCTCCAATAATTTCAGATCATCAGGTAAGCTCTTTTAACATATGCAGCTCATGAAATCTTCACTGCTGCTACAATGCTGATAGGTGATGTCAAAGCCAACAGCAAGGAGGGGGAGGTGCAGATGCCATTTGTATTATGGGGCGCAGGTGTGGCACATACCTCAACAAAACTGGGTCGCAGCTTTATAGCCAATGAAAAGGGGCAACGCCTACCACTGCACGTCCTGGACGCCAAGCAGTTAGCATCAGTGATGAGCGGTCTATTGGGCCTGCCGCCACCAGTGCACAATCGTGGTCAGTTGCCAACGGGTTTGCTGAACTCCACCAACCATGAAGCACATGCCATGTACATGAATGCGTTACAATTTGTGAACCAGGCTAAATTGGCATTAGCCCAACATCAACGTGGTCTCTTGGCCAACTTTTTGCCCAGCCATTGGCTAAACGACGTCCATCTGCAAAAATTCGTCTCCGACGCCAATTTGTTCTGGATTCAGCAGCGCTACACTGCACTCATAGAGCACTGTGGTAGTTATATGCCCATGCTGTTGGAGTGCATCGATTACTATGTCCACTACTATCGCCAAGCGCTGCTGTGGGCCAGCGCCTCCGCCTTCCTCGGCTGGCTGCATCAATTGCGTGGCACGACAGCCACATCAAAAAGCACCCTCAATCTGCTGTTCGAGGCGTTGTGGCGCCTGTTGTTTTATCTGCTGATCATATTTGTGCTGCTGCAACGTGTGCCATGGCTCGTTAGTGGAGTGCTATTGCTACCGACGCTTCTTTGGAACTTCAAGAGCGAATTTAACGAGGATCATTTTATATCCTCTCGCCAGCTTATTATATTCATGCTGTTCTCCGTTTGCTGTTTCGCCGGCTTCTTCTTTCGACGCTTCATAGGACTCATCTACTTTGGATTTGCCTGCTACCACAATCGCATCGCCTTTGTGCAGCGTTCGTCAAGCTGTTTCATCTGGTTTACGATTCTCTGTGCGCTCACAGCCCTGTCGTGGCGGCCTCCAGCGCTGGGCTATTGGCAACGCAATTGGCTGCTCGTCAGCCTATTTATCACGTCTATCCGGCCTTTCATCTGCACCTCGCAGCAGCTATCGCAGCGATCTTCCATTTGCAATGGGCTGGTACTGTTCCTAGCTGGACTGCATGTCTTATTTAGCTCGCAGGCACGTTGCCTTCAGCTGATTGCCCGTGCATTTACGTGTTATGTGTTTATCCCGCGAAAACGACAAGATGCATCAAAACAGTTCGTCTTCGATTTGTGCACACTGTATGCATTGCTTTCCACGTCCTACGAATCCCTAATCATACAACTGCTGGCCATGGAACTACAATTGTCGCTACGCCTTAAGCAACATTTCGGAACGGACGTTAATCGGAAATGTACACTGGCAATGTATATGCTAATTTATAGCTCTTACTCTCTCTTTGTCATTGGTAACATTGAGGCAGTAGATGGATTTCGCTTCTATATGCATTTCACGGGCTTTGGATTCTATTCGACGCTCATCAATGGAATTCTGATCGCAATTAAGCTTCTGTTGCCGATCTTCCTGCTCCTGTGTATAATTTGTGAAAATTGTAACATGGCATGGCAATATCGACGTCAGATCTTCTTCAGACTACTCATCATGTGCAATTTCATGGCGTTAATTGCCCTTTTTCGAATACGATCTGAAATCATCTCTTGGCAGGACTCGGTTGGTGTTATCCATTTTTGTATTGTGCAAGTATTGCCGTTTTTATTGTTGCTACTGTGCCATCTGGCGCATTTTATGCTAGGCAAGCATGGAAACAGAACATTAGAACTACCAAAGTGGAATGTGCACACCTTTTAAAGATACATTTTCCAGAAAATTCATCTCAATGCTTTGAATGCACGCGCAAAATAAACTGTTAATGCTCCTCACAGAATAGACTAATGTTAAGTTTACTAAACACCTGCGTCTGTATAATCGGAATCTATGCAACCCTGTTTTCGCACAAAGACCAACGATATGTCATCGCTAAGTCCTCGGCTGTTCACATCGCGCAATACACGTAGCTCCCCAGAATAATATTTTTTGTGCAATTTTTGCTTAAAGCACGTTAAAATATCAATAATTTGTGTGCCAAAAAAGCAAACGGTGTTATTAAACACATTACAAACAGTCATCAACGAATAAAGAAGTAAATGGGAAAACAAAAACAAATGTCATTCCGATGGCTACCTCACCCTTTCCAGTTTGTATAGAAAATAAACAAAATCCAATTGGAAAATAGTGTTTCCACTAACACAATAAATGCAACACATTTGTGCGGGCGCAAAGTGTGTGCGTGAGTGTGAAACAAAACGAATAACACAAGAAAGCATAGAAAGTTAAACGTGAAAACAACTATTGCGCATTCCACGGAAGCAGTTCAGTAGCAATAAGCAACAACAGCAACCAGCCAGAACAAGCAACTCAAAAGGTAAGCAAAAAGTGTACGTGAATGTGTATGAAGGGAATAAGGGGGCGAGGTTGTTAATAATAACAATTGCTTAGTATTGTACACACATACTCACACCCACACACACAAGCAATCACAGCCGCCATAGTAGCATACAGTGACACTTGTTTTTGGAGCGCTTAGGCAAAATGGCAGCCAAGAGCAATGCTAGCGCTTATGGTGGGTGGGCCGCAAACCGCCTGAGCGACATATGTCTTTGTGTGTGTGTTTGTTTGTGTGTATATTATTACTTAATAAAACCTTCGCAATTTACTTGGCCTAACTAGACACCAATTAATGAAATATGTATTGCTGATAAGATTTGTGCGAATCCAATTCGTCAGCCACAATTCCCACCAGAATTGTGTCACAGCGACTTTCTTTTCGCCCTGCAGCTGTGCTGCATTTGCACTTTTATTTTCTCATTCACTCGCTCGCTCGCTTTTTGTTTTGCAATTAAGCATTCAGTGGGTTATTAAAGTCAGCAACATCATACACTGTTGCCTCAATTAGTTAGTCGCCTGCCATTAGCCACTCAAACTGACAATGCTTACGTCTGAGTTGGCATTTGAGTTGCAGCTTCCGCTGTCCAATTGGAAGATCACTCTTTGAGTGGTCGCGTTGCCAGACTGTTACACTTCCTTCTTAATTTAGTTTTGAACAAGTCGAAACTTTTAAGTAAATTTTATATATATTTATATTCGATTTCCACTTAATACAGTTTGAATTGTAATTAATATTCGTATTTCAGACCAGTACCACTTTGAAGATATCACTGTATTACATATATTTGTAAAGTAAAGCTCATTTAACTATATTGAATCATATATCGCTCATCAGTTGAGCTCTTTGTTTACAGAATATATTATGGATTACTATTCCCTTTTCAAGTCCATTGTTGACTAATTGAAAAACATTGTAAATGCCGTACTCTAAGGCAAATTCTTTGATTTTTTGTTATATATATATAAACCAAAAACAGTTGTGCCGACTGTTCTGTCTGTCTATCTATCTTGGCTTTTTGGGCATTGCATTAGCAATTTTTCAAATAGTTGCAATGGCTCCACTACTTCGTAAACATCCTAAAAATCGAAGCGCCAGCTTGGAGGAGTTGCTTCAAGTAAATCGACAAAGGTGCGCATATAGATAAATACAAAATCAAATAAGAACTGAAACAGAAATCTTCAAGGTGCATTATTATCTAAACAAACTACTGATAAACAAATTTTATAAATAAACAATCATATCTCTCTAGTTAAACAGAAGATATGTAGGTATATATATATATGTGTATATAATTATAAATATGTGTGACTAATATGATTCTCAAAAGTGTGCTAAACGATACGAATTGAGAGAATGATTGAGAAACTGTCGAAACTTACGTTGATCGCACTTAATTGCGCAGTTTTTCATTTTTACAAATACAAACATCAGATTATTAATGCAAATTGTCTTGGGTTTTTGTACTTGGGTGCGCTCTACCGCTCTCTGTCTCTCTCTCTCTGTCTCACTCGCTCTCTATCTATATCAATACATATGTTTGTATAGTCACCTTGTCTCTCTCTTCCTCGCAATCCACCTACACCTTACTCTTACAAATAACTTAAGCTGTTTTTCTTTCTTAATATACCCTCTGCCCATTAGCAATGTTTTCGAAGAATGTTTGATCGACTCGCCCAAATGTGAAGACCGAAACAAAGCATTTTCAAGTAAATCAGACTAAAGAGAAAGAATTGAATTCGCTATGCATTTTATGCCTATCCTAGAAACTTACAAAGTATTGGTATGTATAGGATATTTGACCGTCGAGCATTCCCGTTTAATTGTGAATCAGACCAAATTGAAATAATTTATATCGAAATACATATTTTCCTATTTTAGAATAGAACAAAGTAGTGATATATGGTATGGGGCATCTACTTGTTGAGCACTCTCGTTTAATTGCTTTATTGTGGGCGTATTTTAGTTTTGTAATAATTTATGGATTTAGTTTGCAATCGTTCTGCACAGCACAGCATTGACACAGATGGCAACGCCACCGCGAGCTTTGGATACCATCTCGCTGTGCTCCACCGTATCCAGTTGCCCCGATCGCAATGGTTTCTATGGCGGATTTCAGCGCAGCGACAAACCCAAAGAGCCCTTGTCCAAGGCACAGATCATAGCGCGTGAAAAGAAATGGCTCTACATGATTGACAACTGGTCCATTTATATGTCCAAGAACTACAAAAAGGTAAGGCGATGCTTAAGCTCAATTTAAATCCACATAACTACTCTTCTCCATTTCACAGATACGTGACAGATGCCGTAAAGGCATACCTAAATCGGTGCGTCCCAAAGCTTGGTTCTACCTATCCGGCGCTTATTTGCTTAAGAAAAAGAATCCCGATGTCTATGAGGAGCTGCTGAAGAAGCCCGGCAATCCATCGACCATTGAGGAGATTCGAAAGGATAAACATCGTCAGTTCCCATTTCACGAAATGTTTCTCGACGAGGAAAAGGTTGGCCAAATCGAGCTATTCAATGTGCTCAAGGCCTACTCGATATATAATCCCAAAGTTGGCTTCTGTCAAGCGCAAGCGCCAATAGCTGCATTCCTATTGATGCATTTGCCGGCAGAGGATGCCTTCTGGGTGTTCGTTAGCGTATGTGATGTGTAAGTCCCGCCACACACTTACTGTAACTACATGAAAACTCATAAAGTGCCTCTTTATAGCTACTTGCAGGACTATTTTATACCTGGTCTCGAGGTGATACAAAACGATGCAGGCATCCTGGAGGGTCTGCTGAAGAAAACCTGCCCGCCCGTCTATCGTCACCTGCAGAAGCACAAAGTGGAGCCGCTGCTCTATATGACCGATTGGTTCCTTTGCGCCATGACGCGCACCCTGCCCTGGGAGACGCTGTTGCGTGTCTGGGACTGTTTTCTCGCAGAAGGCATTCGCGTTATGTTTAAGGTGGCGTTAGTTATTATTGGTGCCTCGCTTAGCCGACACAAAGTGCGCAAAACGTGTACCGGTCTCTGCGAAACGCTAGAGGTGCTACGCTCCCCGCCCGAGCACATCATGGAGGAGGAGTTTATCATTAACAATATGATGCGACTCAACTTGCGTGTGGAAGACTTCCAAATCGAACACACGCGTCAAAAGGTGCGACGCGCTAAACAGAAGGCGCAACAGGATGGCGTATCAACTGGAGGAGATGCCAGCAGCAGCAGCAGAAGAAATATGCCCACGCTGTGAGGCTGCAAATTAATTACAATAAAAACAAAACCATTTACAACTATTACAAAAAACAGCAACAAATTGTTACTAAACACACACACACACACAATGCATGAGTTTTGTACCAATTCTAATGCAAGGTCGAATAGTGAGACAGGCGTGCACAAAGAGAAAGGAACTGACAAATTGTAAACTTCGAAACGATAATGGGGGAAACCACAAAGAAAAACTGTTTAAGCAACAGTCAATTAGATAACGTTCATTCCATACGCATACGAAAAAGTATTTGGCAAAAAACAGCAACAGTTTTGTTTTATATTGAATAAGAAAACAAATTTTTGTTCTAATTTGTATTTTATAATATTTTATTTTTATTTAATCATTATTGAAATAGTTGCAATTATTATGTGCGTGCAATTTGTTTATGCTTTTCAAAAGTATTCATTATTATTTATTGTATTACATAACATTAAACGAAACACACAAAAATAAATAAATTCTAGATTTTAGGAGTCTATAAAACAGTATACATATCGCATTATTATCATACTAAATGAAACTACAATCACATTGCATTGGCAGCTACTCGATATGTATGACATATAACTTTATATGTACAAATGTTTGTATTAATATACATATATACTTTACCTATTACTTTTAAAATTGTTTCCGGCTTGTTTTTGTTTTGTTGTGTTTGCCACATCACGTAAAACAATCAACAAAACACAAAAAATATCGTTGATAAATAAATACACACACAGTAAAAATTCAAATGAGCAAAAACAAAAGTTTTGTGGAAATGTTATAGCGGGTTTTAGTCGAAATTAATAATAAACGAAAATACTATTACTAATAAATAAATCATTTGTGTCATTTAATTGCATTGAAGAAATTCGAATAATAAAGCCACTCGCCCGCTGACTGTATAAGCTATAAAGAGTGGACCATTGACAATTTTCTATGAGAGCTATTAAAGCTTTATAGACTCATCAGAATATTAGTAATTCATTCGGTCGTAAAGCTGTTAATCATTTAACAGAATGTTAGAATGTACTCAGTTAACATTGCTACGGAGTAACGCATCCACCTCCTCCTCAAACCTGTTAATATATTTTTGTTGAGAAACTGAAGTAATAGAGAGAAACAATGTGTCTTTTATGTCATATTCAAATTTCTTATTTATTTTCAAAATATTAACGAAAAGCTAAAAGTAAACTTAAAAAAAAGGGCGGATAGAAATTTAAAGCTGCGGAAAATCACTAAAACAAAAGGAAAACACAATTTTTACTCCCAATTTGGAAGAAATATATTGAATTTAAATTCCTATTACATATTTTCGCATGGAATAAAAAGAATAAATTTTCCTAGAGTTATATTTTAATCTAATTTAATATAGAATATTAGGTTGCTAATTGTTGTGTCTGGTTTATCGTCTATGTATAGAACTAATCCAATTGGAGACCAATCAATCATTGTAAAATGAGAAATATACCAAGTAATTGTTATCAAACTCTTGTTAATATCGTAGGTAAATTAGAAATCTCATTGTAATTTCACGAATAGGTTGTCATGCAATCAACTATATGTGGTACTTCACTGGGAGATTAGGACATGGTGATAAATAATAAATAGTTGCAATGTAAAATCTACTTAAATATTTAGATGAGAATTCTGAATGAAATTTTAATTCGTATGTGAGTCGGGTAACCATAAACTAATTATAAATACTTATGTTCAGTTAGATGTATCTTAATATTTAAAATTGTAAGTGGCGTCTCCTAATGGTAGACTTGCAGATTCTGTTGAACACTGGCTTGGCAAGATTTGGCCAGTGTTGGTATTTAGCCTAGCAGATACTGTTCCTCGAACTCCATGTCCTCCACATCATCGTCTAGCAAATGCGGCGGCAGCGGCATGTATAGACCAGTGTCTGTTGTTTCATTGCTAGCCGCTGGCTTCTGACTATCCTCCTCCTCGTCGAGTAGTGCTTGCATTTGCTCGTTCTGCTCAACCACATCCGGATGTTCGTTGCGTATGTGTTGCTGCAGTTCGCGCATACTATGTAAACCGGCAGACGCTACACCATGACCCACCTCATCCGCCGACTGCTGTTCGCATAGCTGGCAGCGAATATACGCGGCATACGGCAAATGCTGAAAGCGATGTTGCTGTAGCACTCGCAGATGCTTCGTTTCCAGCTGCTCTTCACAGTCAGTGCAGCGATAAAGTTCGTCGCCTAGCTTGCGCATGTGCAGCATCTCTCGCTTCCCCAAGCTATGATGGATGTTAATGTGCTCTCGCCACAAAGCTTTGCTGCTGGTGGTAAAGTCATCGCCGCACTGTGGACACATTAGACGATACGCCGCAACATCAAGTGTCTCCTTGGCGAGCATGGTAGCTGGCCTGTCTGGCTGATCCGCTGTATCCTCATCATCCTGGCCACTTAATGGCTTGTTGTCGCAACGATTGGTGTCACGATTTAAATGCTTGAAAAACATTTGCTTGCGCACAAACTCCCCGCTGCAGGTCAAGCACTTGAAAGAGCGATACGGCAAATGCCGGAACTTGTGCGACTGTAGCTGCCCGATAGCGCCCTTAGTGTGCGTCACTGTCACACGTTTATAGCATTCCAGGCACAGATAGTGATGGTTGTCAATCTGGCGAAAATTTAGACCTTGCCGACTATTATAGTTGTGTATCTCTACGATGTGTTTGCGCCAAAAGGCGTGCGAGTCAAAATTTTTATTGCACTTGGGACAATAATAAGTAATAAAGTCCAGATCCACGGCATTATGATACGATATACTATCCTCCAACGTGTTGAGACCGGCAGGTCGTGTGGGCAGCACGCCCGGCTGTGGCTTGAGCGTGCGACTACTGCCGGGTGTAGGTGAAGCAGAGTTAGTGCCGGTGGCAACTGTGGCTTGCGTATCCCTATCATTATCCTTATCCTTATACTTAGGCTGCTCGTGGCCATTCTGGGTCTTTTGCTGCTGGTCACGCCAAGATGAGGAAGAAGACTCGCGCTCGTAGATGTTGTGTCGTGTGCGCAGATGCGCTGCAATGTTGGGCTTGTGATTGTAGCAGGTGCCGCATACCAGGCACTTCAGATATAACCGGTAAGGCAAATGCCGAAAGTGATGATCCTGCAGGCCTTTCAGCTTTGAATTGCATACAATATCCTTGCAGAGGGTACACTGATAGCGATATTTGTCCAGCTGGCGCATATTTAAATACTGCCGCTTGTCGAAATTGTGCTCTTCGTTGATGTGACGTCGCCACTCGAACTGCGTCTTATAGGCCTTTCCACACGACGGGCACAGGAATATATAATTCTGCTCTATGGTGGAAGCACCTGAGGTGTTCATTGCAGGCGTACCACCTGCAGTGTTTGTAACGGCAACAGGTACTACAGCTGCGTCCTCCGTTGGCTCCGCATTGTCAAACTTTTTTGCACTGTATTGCGTGTCCATAAAATCATGTTCTTCGCTGATGTGCGTCTTTAATGCTGTCTGTGTGGCAAATAGTGAGCCGCAATCTACACATTTATAGCGATTGGGATTAGGATTGTGTGCAGCAGTAGTAGGTGTTTGCGCCTGGCGTCCCGTTGTTCCACTGGTACTACCTATGGCATAATCATCGTCGTCCGCTTGCATTTGCTCGCCAAAATCATTCTCTTCGTTAATATTATTATTATTAGGCGGCGATCGCTCCTCATCCAAATAGATAATCTCATAAGTTTCATTGGCCACGGTGACAATCTGCTTGCGTGGCGTCTGTGTTGTGGTTGGCGTCAAAGTAGCAGCACCTGTTCCAACAGTTTTGCGCGGCTCATAGCCCACGCGATGGTAAGTAGCCAAATGTTTGACAAGACCCTTGCGATCCGTATAGGATTTATGGCATTTGCGGCATCTTGCGTAGGCTTTGTAGGGCAAATGTGTTATCCTATGTTGCTGGGCATTCTGTATGCCGTAGGCATTCGTTATTATCTTATCGCATTCGGTGCACTTTAACTGGCGATCATTGATCACCTCAAAATTCAACTTGGTCAGATCATTCATGCCGTGCACTTGGACAACATGCGTGCGCCAATGTTTCTTCTCTATGAACTCCCTGCCGCACTGCGGACATAGATAATCAATATGCGGCTCGTACATATCATCGCTACCAATACGACCACCTCGACGAGGCACATCGTCCCAATGTAATGAAGTTTCATCGTCGCAGCCAATGCCAGGATTATCCTCATACTCATCACTCACGCTGGCTACAGCTAAGGGCTGCTGTTCCTCCTCCTCCTTCTCAGGCATTAAGGTTTCCAAATTATGCTGTTTAAGAAGATGCGTTAGTATTTCATGATGCTCCGTAAAACCCTTATAGCACAGTTTGCAGCGCATCCACTCCGGTTGGGGCAAGTGGCTAAACTTGTGGGCGCGCAGCGTCTTAATGGTGTTCGGAATGACAAACTAAATAAAGCGAAAGTATTATCAGGTAAACTCTGATATGATCATACCATGTCTCACCTGCTTGCACTCGAGGCATTGCATTTGCATATCAACGCAACGAAAGTTCAGACCCCTGCGACTGACATAATCGTGTACAAATTCAATATGCTGACTCCACTGGGCGTGTGTATCACAATCGGTGCCACAGTCCGGACACATATAGTGTATATAGTCCTCGCAAATATCAGCTGCACCACTGTTATTTCCACTGCCATTTCCTGCCACACCAGTGTTACGTTTTTTTATAGCCGCTTGATTTGAACTGTGACTGTGTTCATCATCCAAGTCGAGATTGGGTTCTTCAGATGGCTGCGCACTGCTCTCCGCTTCCATCAGCTCATTCTTGACTTCTACACCATCATCTTCATTAGCCTGTCCGTAATGTTCGCGGTGATGTTCAATGCGCGGCTCGCGAACACGCGTCTTGCGCCCAGCACTTAATTTGCCACCACGCATCATGGCCACCACCTCATCACAGTGCACCATACGCAAATGTACCATCAGGTCCTGCCTGTATTTGTACTCGCGCTTGCATATGTGACACTTGGTGCACCGAAATGGTAAGTGGGTGAACTTGTGCTTAAGCAAATTCTCTCGACTGTGCATCGCGATCCGCTTGTTGCACTCCAGACACCGATGATACAGCTTGTCAATGGCCACGAAATTGAGACCACGCCGAGTATTGTACTGATGCATCTGGTTCATGTGACGCTTCCACAAATCCTGCTGCCGATACTCTGCGCCGCAGGCGGGGCATATATAGGTAACGCCCAGTTCATAGTTGATGGGCAGACCGTTCTCATCTGTGGCATTGATCTGTGAGGTTGTTGGCCTTGTGGTTGCTGTACCTGCACTGCCACGACCCATCGTTTGCTGGGAGCCAAACGAAGCTGGCAACGACTGACGATGCTGGGGTCGGACGGCTGCAACCGTTGGGATTGGAGGCTGCAGAAGTGCCGCCGTTGGTCTAGGCAACGGTTCCAGTTCTGGTTCCGCAATGCTAACAAGGGGCGCTAGTTCAAAATCAAATATGGCATCGTCATCGGGCTCGTGTCCTTTTCGTTTGCTGCCTCTGTCGTCGGCCGAGCCCTCATCCTCTTCAGCCTCCTGTTCGTCCTCCTCCTCCTCTCCTATAAAATCGTCTGTGAGCGTGTTATTACCATTATTGTGGCTCTCCGCCTCACCATCGCCTTCATCGAAATCGGTTGAAAACATTGACGTCCACAGATCCATACCTTCCATTTTTAGGAAGCTGTTTGCAGCTCGTGCGTGTGTGCGTGCAGTTTTATAATAACTAGTTTTTGTATTCAAATCTCAGTCACGCACTTTCGACACCATTTTATTTGTACAATCTGCGATTGTACATCTAACATCTAAGTTGTATTCGTGCACACGGCCATTGAAACTTATATTTTATTTGTTTCATTTTATTCAAATTATTGGCATTTTTAGATTGCGAAAATTCAAAATGAATCTTTTTTAGTCTGCAAAAATCAGAGCCATTTTGTTTGCGGCGTTGCAGAGTTGCAAGCCGCTTATAATCGGTTTGTTGACGGCGTTGATTTATTGAAGCAAAGCCTATAGTCGACAATAATGTTGTGTTATAAATTAAGTTGTAAAATGCCAAACCGTGCCAAGCATCTTAAATCAAATTTTATGAGTTTCGTACGAATTAACGGCACGCGCTGCCGTAAGATGGCAACAGGGGCAGCTATCAAAAATGCCCTTTTCAAATTACTGCGCGGAGCTGGCACCTCGTTGACGTTGCCAGATAGTAGTCGCCTTTTTAGACAAACTGGCAACCTTCATAGACTCCCACGCAACTATTGTACTAAAACAACAATTGGATTTCGACAACAAATGGACCACACGATACCTCCTAAAGAGTACAAATGGACCCCTGCAAATCTTATCACTGACAGCTTTAAGCTTGGCTCCAACGGCCATGTTTGCATTGTGCTCAATCGACAAATTCACGTTCCCACTCACGTGGTCAAGCTGTTATGGAAGAACGGTAAATCTCGAAACGTGAACAATTTTTAAAATAAAACATGCAAAATGTTATTTACAGCATCCTTGCGGTGTGCCGTCGATGGAGGGTCCAATCACTTGCGCAACTTTATCATAACCAACACAGACGCAAAGAAGAAAAGTAGTAAAGATGGCCCTGCGCTGAACGACATGGAACCACCAGATCTGATAACAGGCGATTTTGATTCAATTTCGGAAGAAACAATTGAATTTTTTAAGGCAATACCGAAAATTAGCACACCGGATCAGGATGCTACGGATTTTACCAAAGCCTTCACAGTGTTGCAACCTGTCATGGTACAGCGTAAGATTCGTGATGTGGTAGTGTTTCATGACTGCTCTGGTCGACTGGACCAGGTTATGGCCAACCTGAATACACTGTACAAAGTGCAGAAAGACAATTGTAATGTCTACCTTCTGAGCGGTGACTCTATCACTTGGCTGCTACGACCGGGAAAACATACCATACAGGTGCCTCTCGATCTGGTCACCAGTCAACGTTGGTGCTCTCTAATGCCTGTTGGCAGCACAGCTCATAATGTAACCACACAAGGGCTGAAGTGGAATCTATGTAAGTAGATCATAAGTACACTATTATCTATTGATAATTTTATGTGCTCTTATTATTTCATCAGATCATGCACAAATGGAATTTGGTGGCATGGTTAGTACCTCGAATACATATTCCACTGAATTTGTGCAGGTGGAGACGGATAGCAATTTGATATGGTCCATGGGTGCTTATGGCTTTGAGGAGAAATTGCGTTCGTCCATCAAATAAATTGGCATCGTAATTATTTTTTTTTTTTTCGATAACAATTGCCGCTTGGAGACTTAAAAATTATTATAGCTTAAGCTTGTTGTTGTTGATTAACAAAGTGACAAAAAAAAAAGACATGTTTATTGTTCTGCAAACTTTTCAACTATCGCGATCCGGGCAGCGGCATCAATTGAAATCCGCTGCTAGTTCCCGTTTTCTTACCCAACCAACTGGACGCACCGCTGGCAGTTCCTCTCCTGGATGCTGCTCCGCGACTGCTGCTGCTACCGCTGGCACCGCGACTACTTCGTACAGGTGTCGCTTTTTTACGCGGTGATGCAGCAGCTTTATGCCGCTTGATGGCGCTCGTAGCACGTCCACGCCAAGCACGCTTACGCTTGCCGCCATGCGTTGCGCCCGCCGATCCACTGCTCCCTTGTGAGGCCGCCGCCTGTCCCCAGTCATCGTCGTCGCCACCTTGAGCCACCCAGGAGGCGCGAGCATTACTTGAAGCATTGGAAGTCACTGAAGCAGCTGCAGCTTCAGCAGCCTCCAATTCGTACATGACCTGCAAACATTCCTTCTCTGAGGCATATCCGCTGGTTATTTCCAGCAGCTTGGCTCCATACTTATCGAAATTGGCTTTGGTTACGTGTGGTATGGCGCACATGTCTTTTTCTGTAGTCGGCAGCTCCTCGGCCATGGCCTTGAGGGCTTGCATATTCATAATACTAGCCATGGTCACATTGCGTGCAGCGGCTATGGTACGACACAGATCAAGCAAATCTGCATAACAACGATCGTGTAGATTACTGATATCGGTTCTGCCTGCTGTAGATGGTTCAGAGACGCTGGCCACCGTCTTAGACCCGCCGCTACTCTCCTTGCGTGACATAGCAAATTCGATTTTGGGTGTGCCATTCATGAGTGCTGTTATATTATTTCCAAGGTAAATATAAGCCTGAGGTATGTCCTTTGTAAAGATAAGATCCTCCTTTAGATAATCCTGCAGCACCATGTGTCGTAGCAAACGCTGCACATCCGCCTTATCCCAGTCCTTTAGTACGCCATGATGTGGCGTTTTATTGTGCCCAAAATCAACAATCTTCTTGATCATAGATCCTTTTAATACATCTGCTATATGGAGCAGTGTAAAACGTGACCGCCCACTGCACAATTCCCGCACAGCGCACGCAGCTTTGCGGCATTGCTCCAAGGCATCGATCTGCTTATATGTGCGTTTCTTCAGACAATTATCGCAGGCGGTACGACGGTCCTCCAAGCACTGTTCACTTGTGAAATGCTCTCCAAAGTAATCCAATTGCTGGGCACGTCGGCAATCGGTAATATTCTCACAATAGCCAACGATGCGATTCAGATTCTCAATATGTATCTTCTTCACATGGTACTGAAGAGCTCGATCAGCTGCAGGAAGAAGCAGTGAAAGTCATATTGTGATCATCATATTGAAGCACCACCACTTACCATCCATCATTTTTTTTAGGCGCTGCATATCGCTGTAGTTGTAGTAAAGTATACAATCAGCTATTTCCCCATCGCGTCCTGCGCGACCCGCTTCTTGATAATAGCCCTCGATGGACTTAGGCAGTGAATAATGAAGAACAAAACGCACATCGGGCTTATCAATGCCCATGCCAAAGGCAATTGTGGCGCAAATTACTCGCACCTTATTTGTTATCCAATCCTTTTGCCGAGACTCTCGCACTGTGTCCGCCAGGCCGGCATGATAGGCTAACGCTCGTATGCCCACTGCACACATTTTCTTCGCCACTTCATCACATTCTTTGCGTGAAAGACAATAGATAATGCCGCTGGAGGTCGCAGGACGCGTTTGTATAAAGCTGCGCATATCGTCCAGCGTAGCGACTCCCTTCTTGGGCAACACTTGATAACGTAAATTGCGCCGGTTGAAGCTGGACAAAAACCATTTGCAATGCGTCAGATTCAGCTGCTGCAATATGTCCTGGCGGACACGAGGCGTTGCTGTGGCAGTCAACGCCATGGTGGGTACATTGGGAAAACGCTTACGTAAAATGCCCAGCTTCTTGTAATCGGGCCTAAAATCATGGCCCCATTGTGAAACACAATGAGCCTCATCTATGACAAAACGACTGATATAATTGTTAGAGCTCAGTTGGTCTAATGTATCCTGAAAGCGCGGAGAACTGGAAATTTTCTCAGGTGTAACATATAACAGCTTTACCAGTGGCGGATGAGCCTCTAAGTTCCTGTATATAGTCATCACCTCTTCCAAAGACTGATCACCAGAAATACTCTTGGCGCAAATCTGTAATAAAGAGAAATGTTATGAAATAAATTGATTCACTTGCTTGCCACACAATACTCACATCTAGCGAGGACAGCTTGCTGACCTGATCAAAGATCAAAGACTTGAGCGGACTTATGACTACGGTAACACCCTCGGTGAGTATAGCGGGAAGCTGGTAGCATAGAGATTTGCCGCCACCAGTCGGCATAAGCACAAAGCAATCGTTGCCTAGCAGCGCCGCATTGATAACCTGCAGTTGATTGGGTCGAAAGCTCTTAAGACCAAAGTTAAAGCTAAGTGCCTGCATCAGACGTGTGGAGTGCTCATATTTCTGGCCATCGAATTCGCCAGTTATGCCGTCGTTATGCACATTGGCATGAAAATTACCCTCGATCTTCTGTGCTGCGACTGCGGCTAGCGCGCTGCTGGTCCGGCTTGTACTAGGCATGGCGTGGGACTGGGTTTTGACCATCGCATTGGAAGTCAAGTCAATAGTTTGCGACGCCAACATATGCGCCTGCTCAAACAGCGCTTCATCGTACTCTGGAAAGCCGTCATCATCAAGAACAACCGTTGAGCTTTTGCTAGCCACATTTGAATTCTTTGTTGCCGGCTGCTTGACAGCCTCAAAATCCGCATAGGCATAGTTATTGAATTCCGATTTGCGTCCATTCAGCGCTTCGTGTTCCTCGCGTATTTGCTTCATTGTGTCCTCAAAATCATCATCGGATTCAATATTAGTTTTGGACTTGGCTGGGGTAGCTAACGAAACAGGCGAAGGGCATTGTGTAGAGCTGAAGAATTCTCCCTCATCAAGTCGCATGGTCTGAGCTAAATAATCATCCTCGTCCGACTCTGCCATTGGAGCACCCACAGGCACTAGGTCATCCAAATCGTCAGGTGGACCATTTGCGTATTTCGTAGTTGTCGATGCTTTTGCAGATGTTGCTCTATTTGTTGTGGTTGTTTTTGTCATTAATATTAGATCATTTAGCTCCTCCTCGTTTGGTTCCTCTGACGGCCCAGTTACATGACTGTTAGGCGTTTCTGACGGCATGTGACGCAGTTCCGCTTGGATTTCGCGCTCCTCCCGTTCCAGTGCGTCAAAGTCCGGCTCCTCCGGCTGCATAATACGCTCTTGACGTCTACGCTCTATTTGTCGCTCGAGGAGCTGTGTACGCGCTTTAAATTTTTGACGCATGACTTTCAGCTTGAGAAAAGTGTTTGCCTCGAAGCCATCGATTTCATTAAATTGAACCGCGGGTATCTGATCAATCACCTCGCAGTACTTCTCCATTAACTCTATGTACTTACACTTGTACATGCCCATTGTGCTTCGTAGCATTGTCTCATTCTGTTGTCCAATATCGGTCTTGGACACACCTATATCGTACTGCCCCAAATCTCTCAAATAGTCGGCAAGGGTGTTATCAAAAACTATTTTAAGTCTCGGCTTGGCCGTTGCTGGCTCAGTTAATGTTTTCTCTTTGAAGCTCTTCAGAGAACTCTGAGAGTTTGACTCGGTTGAAATTAGATCCGATTTACTGATTGGCACGAAGAGTTGAGTGGGGGTGTCAGAAAGAGGCTCCTCTTTTACAGTTTTTTTCACCATTTTATCAAAACTGTCGTCCAGAGTTTGGCTGGAATTCGAGCTGTTCAATTTTGGTGTTTCAACGTCATTCAGAGATTTATGCGGGGATTGTGACACTGAAAGTGTTTTGAGTGGCGACTCATGGAGCTTGTTAATATGTCCATTCAGTTTTGATAGTGTAGCTTGATAGGAGGCATCCTGCCTGAGCACCTCATCAAAGTTATCAAAGTTCAATTTCAAACTCCCAGCTACGGTTGACTTTGTGGGTGTTTGTTGCTTATTCACAATATTTGGTGGCAGTGGAGCCAATGGCGATTGATTGGCATTTTCAAAGCTATACCTCTTAATAAGCGCATTGCCAATGACATCCTTTTCAGACGCCTTGCTCTTGACTGTCCTCGTAGTAGACGTCGGTGCTTGGCTCTGAGTCTGTGCATCATCTTCATCGGATGACGATGAGTCCAGATAAATGGGATTGTAAAACTTTGCTTTTGCTGTCCTTGCTGCCAAAATGTCTAAGAAATAAAGTTTCACATTATACTATAAGAAAAGCTCATATTTTTTATAAAATACTTTTTCTTGCTGGTTTTGTAGTTTGCGACGATTGGCTTTGGCTGTTTTTATCTAGTTCAAGGAACGCAGACATTGTCAGCTGTTTGTTCTGATTAACGGGCTTTCTGGACATTATTTAAGCTTGCGCACAATTCTAAGCATTTATAAAACTAAATTTACCGAATACGAATATGTAAACAAATTTATATAAAACAAAAACGCGGGCTACAATCATCCTTTTGTATTATTTCCATAGAGTTGCCAGAATTTGGCAATGGTAGAAATAAAACGATTAAGCAAATTTATCGAATTTTTTTCAACTGGCAAATTAAATTGTTTAGAGTTGTATGTATACAGAACAATAAATAATTAAAGTCCAATTAATCATACTTAAATAAAACAGTTTTAAAGAATAGCCTAAGTAAAAATCTGTAATTAAATACTTTGATATTGCCTATCGAAAATTGCGCGGCAACACACAAATCGATAACTACGAATCAAGACGAATTATTGACATATATAAATGACGCTTCATAATGAGAATTTGATAAATACAGACGATCTGTTTATACCAGGTTTGGTTCAACAGGTTTTTAATAAATACAAACGTATTAATGGTATAACTTTAACCCCAGGTAATTATTATGATCCTTTATTACTTTATTTAGCTATAACGATTACGCTTATTCCAGCGGAACGTTTGCAGTTATTTACCGATTTGAACGCCTTGTTGGGCGAGGTTCTTCTGAAGCGCGCTCTATATCTGCTTGATCAGTGGAATTTTATTACATACTACACAGCAGATCGCTTTCGTAGTATAGTTGAATTGAGTAGCAACCGAAACTCTGCGCACGTTGTGCGTGTTGTACCTGGCGTGAATTATTGCAAGTGCCGTTATTTTCAGCGTTTTGTGCTACAATTGAAAGATACAGGAGAGAAGGACGAAGATGAGCACGAACTAGACGGTGGCAGTAATCAAGTTTCCTTCACGTGTGAACACGTGTTAGCACAGTGTTTGAATCAGCTACTAAGTCCAGAGCCACGGACACAGATCTTGACGCTTGATCAGTTTAGATATCTTCATAACGATATCTATGAGGATTGATGCAGCATTCGAAAGTTCTTTACGAAAAGGGCATAATTAAAAATCGTAAAATGTTAACACAATCACAATATGAAGATTATCAGATGGCTTGCCATTTAAAGCATATCAAGACCTTCTACTCATCCATTAAGGCAATTTGTTTCAGTGATGTAAAAAAAATCCAACAAGAATTTATAAATTTTTCATAAGACAATTTTATGTTACAGTTCGGCACTCTGGAAGCCAATGAAGATGGGATACTCATTTCGGTGGAGCAGGGTAAATCCATACAGGCCACATTGTTTATATCTGCAGCATTCTTTGCCGAATTCAGGATCGATGGCTCGCCGAGTTTCAGTGTGAAGATCAATGTGCTAGCGGAGTGCCTAAGCTTGTTTGGTCTCTCAGATTGCAGCGTTAGAATATTGTACAAGGGCGAAGGTTCACCATTGCTGTTGTTGTTGGAACCCCACGATGATGATCAGGTTAGCACAGAATGCTCCATTAAAACTACCAACATGGAGGAACTAATGGAGTATGACCTGGATGCAAATAGTTCTAGTTTGAACACCATATTTATGCGCGGCCCAGACTTATCCAACATCTTTCACGAACTAGACAAAGCAGCCGATGAATTTGAACTTACCATATCACCGTTAAAGCCACATTTCAGAATCACCACATTGGGTGTCATGCAAGCCGAGACCAGTGTGGAGGTGGCGAAGTCAAGTGATATGGTTATATTGTTCAACTGTCGCGAAACGACGGTGGCACGATACAAAAGTCAACAAATAAAGCTGACAAACAAAGCCATGCAGGTGGCCTCAAAAGTGGCAATTAAAACGGATGCCAGCGGATTGTTGGAACTGCATTTCATGATGAACGCCGATGATCAGAAGGAAATGTATGTTCGGTATTTCATAACACCATTACTTGAAACTGAGGATAATTGAAATAAAGTTTTTGCCTCTGTCTGGCAACACCATTGAGCTGCTAAAATACCCTCTATATAAAATGTATGGCAAGGGCAAATGCTATATCAGTATTCAAGCTGCGTATCTATAATAAATATGTACAAAGTATTTAAATATCATCACAAGATAATAATATTCAAACAACCGCTGTTAAAATGACAAATGATTCTATGAGTATTAACATTACAGCAATGATTAGAGACATAGGGGCCTTTACAATGTACTGTATTTATGAATACAGGGTGTGTCATAGCATAAACTGCTACTTGGTCTTGTTGCTGTTATTGTTACCATGCCGTCAGCTGTGTGCACCAGGCATGTGTTTTGTTGTGTACCGTGCTTCCTCTTGCTACTCTTAGGTTTGGGTTGTTCTGGCGGAAAAAAGCGTGCTTAGTCTAATAAAAGCAGGAAAATTTTGATTTTTGGTGATTCCTATTATGCATACGTAAGTATTTAGTCATTTATCGATAATATACTAATATATTCAACTAATTCATAACCATTTAATAAACAGGCATGAGTATTTCAAAACTCCAGCGGATGAAGACGAACTCGATGACATAGATGACGATATGGTTGTTGGTGTAATAGCTGAAATAGAGCAGGACGTGCTCAACGAATCTGAAAGTGACGACGACGAATACGATTTGGTAGACATGGGAGCTCCAGAGCCACAACAAAATGACGGTAACAGCAGCTCAAATGAGAGCATCAGTAGTGACGGCAGCTTCAATCCGGATGGAGAGGATACCGACTCCGATGATTCAATGATCGACGAGGCTGCAGCGGGTGGAGCAAGCAGTGCCAAGCGTCGCAAGGAGCAAAACGCAATAGATGGAACGGGGCCCAGTGGTTCAGGTCCGAGTGGATCTGCTGATTATTCACATTTGGATGAAGACGATGAAACCGATGAGACAGTGCGTGCAATCATTGCAGCTATAAAGAAGCCACGCAGTGCTCCCCCCGAGATTAAATTAGAGGATTTTATCACGGATATCTGCTTCCATCCGGAGCGAGATATTATCGCCCTGGCGACAATAATTGGAGATGTGCATCTATACGAATATGGCAACGAGGAGAACAAACTGTTGCGTTCGATTGAAGTGCACGCCAAGGCGTGTCGAGATGTTGAGTTCACCGAGGATGGACGCAGTTTGATTACATGCTCCAAGGACAAGTGCGTCATGGTTACCGACATGGAAACGGAGAAACTAAAGAAATTGTACGAAACGGCACATGATGATGCGATTAACAAACTGCATGTGCTCGACGAGCGTCTATTTGCCACCGGGGATGATGCAGGCACAGTGAAGCTTTGGGACTTTCGCACCAAAGATGCAATATTTGAACTGAAAGAGGTGGAGGATCAGATAACACAAATGCTAACGAACGAACAGAACAAACTGCTGTTGGCTACCAGCGCCGATGGCTATTTGACCACGTTTAATATTGGTGCTCGGAAATTATATGTGCAATCGGAGCCCTATGAAGAGGAGCTCAACTGCATGGGCATCTATCGAGGCAGCTCGAAGTTGGTGGCAGGTACCTCTAAGGGACGCCTTTACACCTACAATTGGGGCTACTTTGGCTACCATTGCGACATGTATCCGGGTATCAAGAGTCCCATAAGTCTGATGATACCCATTACGGATCGGATTGCCTGTGTAGCTGGCGAGGATGGTAACATACGTGCCTGTCATATTGCTCCCTATCGAAATCTGGGCGTTGTGGGCCAGCACAATATGCCCATTGAATCGATGGACATCAATTGTAGTGGCGAGCTGTTGGCATCGTCATCGCACAACAACGATGTGCGCTTCTGGAATGTCAAATATTTCGAGGACTTTGGCGATATCAAGTACAATGAGAAGCATAACGCCTACAAGGATAAACGACACAATTTACCGTCATCGAAGTGCACAAACGCCTCTGACTTTTTTGCCGATATGACCAAGGAACAGGATGACGACGACAACGGCGACGGTGGCAACGATACCACAGCTGCACCCAGCAATGTTACCTAGATTCTTTCAGTCATTCAAAATTTGTAGCTCGGCATTATACATATATCATTGTTAAACATTTCTTAACAATTTTTAGCTATAGTATTGTAAGTCCTTGTGCTGTAAAGGCTTAATAAAAGTTAGCATGTACCTAAATACATACCAGTTCATAGAATATTTAGATTCATAAATATATCTGCTCTAAAATGTGTTAAAAGCTTGGACTGGAAACCGATATTTATCGATTTTATTTAAGTGAATTGCATTACTTAAATAAAAATAAACAATTACAGAAATTGAAAGTTTGTAAATCTCTTATCTTTAATCTACAATAATATTGAATGCTTCACATTCTGAAGGAAGTTAGTTTCTTATCATCAAGAATACTTATCGAGCCGAAGTCTCCTTATAGCTTCCATATATTTGTTCACTGTTGCGCTGTTTTTGAAGCCTTCGTTAAGAGGTAGAAATAAAGAATAACTTTAAAATTTACTATTGAATATATGTATTTGATTTGCAATTCAAGTTTATCAATATAATGTAATTATATAAATGTTTAGTATCCTGTGTAGCCAACTTAGAATTGGGATTTATTTTATTATTTTTCTTGGGCTTACCCAAAATGAAAACTTAGATGTAAATTAAAATTAGTTCATTTTTAGTGACTGCTCGCGTCACACAACGTTTCAGATCAGATCAGGTGAAATCAACCAGAAAATCGATTACATATATATGGCAACAAATAGAATTCAACAGAGGATTAAAATGCAATTGAATTGAATGCTTAGTTTTTGTTATTTTTATCGTTTTCTTTTATGATGGTACCACACTTTAATTTCGTGACAAATTGTAAAATATGTGGAAGAGGGGGTGGAAAGCGTCGAGGGTATACAATAACTATAGTTTGGTTGATTAAATAATTATTAATAATGGGGAGGCGGCATTTCACACTTTAACAATGCGTGGTACATATGTGTGTAAATCACAAGAATTTCGTTTCATAAAACATGGACATAATTTTATAATGTAGGAATAATGATTCGGTGATTATGCCAAAAAAAAACACCTATCAATTAATTTTTATATATTATAATATATATATGTACGTAGAGTTTGAGCCAAAGTTTTTGCTTTCGGTTGTTTTTTTTTTAGTTGTTTTTGTCATTTGTTTTTTTTTTATATATATAATTTAACGCAACGCAGCAAATTTTTTACACCTGATTTCGCCTGTTATGGTGGGTTCACAGTTCCAATTGGCTGACGTTTGACGATTTTTTTTCTTTTTTGTTTGGTTTTTTTCAAAATTTTTCCTCTTTTTTTTATAAGTTTGTGAATAAAAACAATTTGACGAGACTTTTTTTGGCGGCTGCCGGCCTGACCCATGCATGACGAACATGACGAACTCAGGGAATTTAGAGTTAATTAGATGCATCGCCCCATAGTGCGTTTCAAATGGGGCAGCGTCATCAGCTGCAACACAACACCCATAACTGGGGCTTCCGGATGCACCAGTGCATCCATGGCATGCATTATTATTATTATTTTTTTTTTTTGTTTTTTAAACATGGTTTTTTAGTGGTTATTGTTTTTGTTGCTGTTGCTGCGCCCTGTTGTCAGCTCTGACATGAATGACGAACTCAGTCTGAAAATTATATCCTTTTACTGTTGTTCGCAGCGGATTTAGAGCCGTTTTTGTGTGTTATTGATGTCTTACATGAATAAACCATGTACACAATGTCATAAAGCAGCTGTGCCAGCAGCAGCCGCCGCAGCAGCTGCTGCAACACCACTAGAACTAGGCACCAACACATCCTTGGCCATATGCGTTTCAATGTCAACGCGACAAATCGGACAGTGCTTATTAGTGACGAGCCACTGATCCACGCAGTCTGTGTGAAATAGATGCATACAGGGCAAACGACTGAAAGGTAATGCATATATATAGTAAATATAGTAAATGAGAGAAATGCGACATTCGTTTCATTACTCACCGCACATCATTTTCAATCTCGAAGAGCGACAAGCATATGGCGCACTTTTCCGCATCCTCATCCGATTCGCTGGGTCGACGGACTCGGCGATATTTGTGTGGCAAGGTATTGCGCTCAATAATTTCCTGCAAGAGTGCAATAATTAATTATTAATTAAGTTACCACACTTGAGCTTCTATTACTTACCAAGGTGGCGCCTCGGTTGGGCCGGGGTGGTCCGATCAGTATGCGTGAGGAGCCTAGCGAAAGCGGCGTAGCGAGACCAATTTCAAGATGTAGCGGTGAGTAATGATGAAACATGTGATGATGGACTGCAGCTCGACGTCGCTGTTGTTGATGTTGCAGTTGCTGCTGTTGTTGCTGTTGCTGTATTTGTTGTTGCTGTTGCTGCTGCTGGTGCTGTTGTTGCTGTTGCTGTTGCTGTTGCTGCTGCTGCTGCTGCTGTTGCTGTTGATATTGTATTCCCAGTTGTGGTGGTGGCGGCGGCGGTTGATGCGCATCAATTGGCCCAGTGGCCGTGGAACTCTGCTGTACAGCAGCATCGTAAGCCGGATAATAGGCAGGATCGAGACTGGAGACGGGTCCATTGCGTGCGTGCACACAATTGCAAATGCTATGCAAATAACGCGTGCGCAGACTGCTCGTCAGATTCAACGGATTCGAGGAGAGATCAATGGGTGTGGGTGTCATATGACGACGATGCAGCTCCTGCATGCTTTGCTGCCGATACCACAGATTCTGATGCACCGGATACGGTGGCGCTGGTGTCAATGATGTTGCCACAATCGCACTCGCCCGATGTGGCGGATGTATGTGTGCATGCATTTGATTCTGCGGCGCTTGATGGCCTTGATGCGGCTGCGGCTGATAATGCTGGCGATGATTATGGTACGCATCTGAGCGCCGTAAGCTAAACGGTGGTGAGCCGCAATACTGCATTGTCGTACGCCCAGAATACATCTCGAGCGGTGGTGGCGGGGACACGGCAGCCGCAACAGTAACTATTGAGGACATGACTGGCGGTGGGCCAGCAGCTGTGGCAACTGCAGCAGCAACGGGTGTGGTTGCACGATTTAGTATGTTCAGTGTCTGACTGCGATGGTGGTAGTTATCCTCCAAGCTATTCTCCATGCTGGTGACCGGAGATGCCAGCGATAGTAAATCGTGGAAGGATTGCGCTTGAGCTGCAGCCACAGTAGCTGCAACAGCAGCAGCGTTTAATGCGCCGCGTATTGAGCTCCGACTGCTGCCCGTGGCATTTGCTAGACCACCCTGGTAATGTGGATTGGTCACCGGTCCCGGTGAGTAGTCGCCATTGCTTCGGCTTGCCGGTAGCGCTGTGATTGTATAGTGTGGCACATAGTATGGCTGATACCGATGATAATACGCTGCGGGACTGGTGTGTCCACTTGGCACCGCCTCTGGGGTCGGTGCCACTGGCGTTGCAATAACCGGACCCGCTGAGGTATGTTGTACATAAGTGCCCGTATTACCACTGGGCGCTGGCGGCGGTGCCTGTGGCGGGGGCTGCCCCTCTGGCAACGGCGCGAAATGCCACATGGGTGGCGGCGTAATTGGCTGGAAATAGCGCTGAGAATGCGCCGCCGCTGCCTCAGCTTCCAGGCCAGGGCAGCGTGTAGGCAGCAGACTGATAATTGGTCCCATGGCCGACGGCGTATGATCATAGCTGCTGTAATTGTGATCGGTGATGGCCACACGATCTGTTAGAGCGCCAGTATAAAAAGCAAACGAGGTGCCGGCCGCTGGACGCTGACGTCGTCGGTCTTCGTAGTCGCTGGCAGAATTTGGACGCGGCATGATAGTTGCCGATACGGTGGCATTGGCACTAGCTGCGGGTGGATTTAAGCCTTCACTACTCCCTGCTGTTCGACTACATGTGGCCAGGGGCTCATCGCGCATATGTCGCTGCTGTTGTTGCTGCTGCTGTTGCTGTTGTTGCTGTTGTTGCTGTTGCTGCTGTTGCTGCTGTTGATGATGATGCGTTTGCTGCTGTTGCTCCAGTCGATGGCGATGCCGCATTTGTTGTAACTGCTGCTGTAGCGCTGTCTCGTTGCTGGCACTAAAACCATCATCATCGGATGTCAGATCAATGGATAGTATTGGCTCACGTGTGGAGTGCACAAATACCACATCATCATCATCATCATTCGAATCGGAAGACCAATCAAGCAGCTGTAGATCGGGCGCTGTGAGCACTGCATTATCTTTATTGTTATTCGTATGCGAATTCGTGTGTTGTCGCCTGCCTGTCGAAGTGGAAGGCAGATTGGGCAGATCTACTGTGCTAGGTGCCGCTCGACTGCCATCTGTATCGCGCGGTCTACCCACATAGGTGATTACACACGACCCGGCGCTTGTTTGTTGTGTCCTCTGAAGCAGCGGTTGCGCCATAGACTGCGGAGACTCCTAGATTACAGAAATAACGGTGAGTACAATGATAAACCGGTTTATTTCACTTTGCCAAATTTAAAAACCCTTGCAGACATATGGCGAAGTATATTAGTTGTAATAAACAATTGTATCGGCTACAAATGTTATTCAAATTTGTGGATATTTGTCAAATCTGTAAACTCTTATACCCAAAACGAAAAAAATAACAAAAATAATAATTCTAAAAGCCCTATTTTTGTATTAAAATCACAGCACTGACAGAAAAATGTGAGAGCAGCAGACGGACTTGACTGAATCAACTGAAATCTTTTGAATGATAACTCATAACCACATATGCGATCATCTTACCTGCCGTTCACTACTCCTGGCCAGCTCCGCATACGTGCGATGCCGGTGACGACCTGGCTGAAATGCATAGAAGTTCGTTGGCGAGAGACTGGACATGGTGGTGGAGGACAACGGCCCATCGTTGTGGGATTCAAGACGTGCTAACTTCCTGGGCGGCTGGCACATACTGTGATTGCTACTGCTGCCACTGCCAGTGCCGCCGGCTGCTGGGATTAGCTCATCCATGGAACGTACCCGAGAACGCGTGCGCACAATGCCACTGCTACCTGTGCCGAAACAAAGTTTAAGCACAGCTGCTGGTCGTTGTTGCTGCTGCTGCTGCTGCTGTTGTTGCTGCTGCTCCGCTGTGGCCGTGTCACCACTTCTATCGCTTGTCAAACGATGCACACCACAAATATCACGACTACCATAGTCCACGCTGCAGGTGGTGTGAGTGGCTGTGGTGCAGGATGCCGAGTTGGAACGCGTAAAGCTGCTATCAGGTGGCGGAGGTGGTGGTGGTAGACCGTTAAATCTATAGCCACGACTATTAAAATACGTGTGATCCGCATGGCGGGCTTCCATATCACTGTTGCTGCTCTGCGGTCGCCCAGCTGTGGATTCAGAAGCTGCATTACGCATACGCAAATCCCAGCCATCGTCGCTGCTGTTGTCGCCCGCATATTCCAACTCACTGGGATAGCGCCGATGTCGATATACATGGCGGTTGCGCTGCTGTTGGTGATGGTGCTGCTGTTGTGCTTGCGCGCTGGTGCTGGGCGTAGCATCCAGCTCAATGACTGATGAAGAAGCCGGCGCGGAGGCAGTTGCATCAACGATTGCACCATTTACTCCAGTTGCTGTTGTACTTCCATTTCGGTTTCGACTCGATTGATGCTTTTTCTTTTGCAACGCTGATGTGGTTGTGGTTGTGTTGGTGGTACGCGTATTGGCGAACTGGACATGCTCCGTATCGGATGCACTGGACGTGACATCATCGAAGGCCGTGGCATTAGCATTAACCAAATGCGCATTATTAATATTACTGTTGCTGCTGCTTGCCTCAAAAGAGCTGTTTGTGCTGCTGTTATTAGAGCTTAGGAGTGAACTACTGGGCAGCTCATAAGCACTCGATGATGAATTGTTTCTAGACTGCTGCATTAATTGCTCGTCAACAGCATGATCATCCATGGCAGCTGGCCAGATGTTCCCTAAATGCGACATGCTGCTGCTGGAATTTATATTGTTGCTGTTGCTATTGTCATATTCTTGCTGTTGTGTGTGCGACTCCTGCTGATGCTGCTGGTGTTGTGCCAGGACATCCATTTCAGTCTTACGTTGTGAGTGATTTGGAATGAATGATGCGCTGCTATTGCGGCTATTGCTGGCTATATTTGCCGTCGCCGACAACGTGGACGTGGCTGTCGCAGTTGATGTTGAGCTGAGTTCAAAGAATTGCGTTGGCTCACCAGCGCCATTGCCATTTGATTGAGTGGAATGCACATGCTCCACGGGCGCCGCATAGCCGGGATTGTTTTCTGCCAACCGACTGCAATGACATATATCGCGTATGACATTGCATTTCCAACACTTGTTGCCAGTTGAGCTCGCTGGCTCCGCATAGTTTTCGCGGTTAATATTCCTGGACGTCGGCTGATACTGAAACAAGGGCACATAACCACCACCAGGACCAACAGCGCCAGCACCAGCACCGCCACCACCACCATTGCCACCTCCATTAACAGAAACAGTTGCAGCCGTTGTTTGCGTTTGCTGCGGTGTTGTCTGAAGATAGGAGGGCATAACTACATAACTATCCGGCAGCGTTTCGCGTGGCTGTTCAAAGTAAACGGCATATGGTGATCGTTCTAAAAAGCAATCAAATGTGAATCATTTAATAGAGATGTAGACAGTCTAACTCATTTGACAGTGCACTTACGAGACTCCCGGTTGCCAAGCTGTAGCATGACATCAGAATAGCCAATTTGTACGCCATGATGCTGATTACGATGCTGGTCCTGCATGTGCTGTCGATGTCTGAGTTCATCCTGTTCATTTTCCATGCTTACGCTTTTTTTTTTGTTGGTTTTTTTTTTACTTTTAAAGAGAAACATAAATGAGAAAAATTATTAATGTGTCTACGCGATCACGTAAATATGAGTATTATGAGAGAAACTAAACAACAAATTTTGCATATGTCTATTTAATATGCCTACTGCGACCACACTCTACCCTTAAGCTTAATATTCACCGTTTTGCCCAACTTTGTCCTGATTAGTTATTTGTTTTAATAATTGATTAATCAATGCTCATTTAAGACGTTCTTATTTTATATTTAAAGTTATGAAATTTAAATTTTTTTGAAATTTTTTTAGTACAAAATTTTTTAAGTAAATTTCTGCATTTTCTTATAAATAAACAAAAAGCTTCTATCTTTTATGTATGATAAACCTCAATTATTTACATTAATTGTTGGACTGTTTAATAATTGTGGAAATGGTACATCATTCCATGTATCCATTGTCACCTGATTTTAACCTGACTCAAACATTGGTTAGTACACATTTTTAATTTCCTGAAAAATCGCGCTGATGTACTAAAACTTTTATTTGTTTAGCAGGGAGGTCTCTGATAAGAAATTGAGATCTGGCCCAAAAACAGCTGTGAGTGAAGAATAAGACAAAGAGAGCAAAATATTTTGGTAGTCAACGAGCATGGGTAAGTAAGAAAGAGAGGGGACGAGATAAAGAGAGTAGCGTAATTGGGGAGAGCATGCAAGACGGAACAGAGGGAGAGCGAATGGAGCTTACCTGCTGCCCGAAGCCCGACAAGACACCTTAATGGCAAAGTAAGGAAATTGCTAATTTGCAAACAATGCAGCCATTATTATAACGTGTTTTTGTACTAAAGACATGCGTTAATTACATCAGCATCGTTTTAATAATATAAAAGCGCGATTAAATCCTCGAAAACGATGCCAAAATTTGATAAATAGCACAAAAATATTAACGTCGTAGGGAAAAAATCACACACACACTGACTACTATGAGTATCGATGTATCGATACTTGAACTTTTGCAATTGACAATATCGATAAGCAAACGCAAACAAATATTAACGAAGTGATTCAAGCATTAAGGAAAACCTTTCAAATTAATAAAAATGTTATAGGGATGTACACTGTCAGCTGCATTCAGCATTTTGAAGTTTTCAGCTGCAAAAATTGAATAATCTTCCGAATGCGCCACATGTAGCAGTGTTGCATAATGACCAACCATTAAACGTTGAATAACACTAATTGGATAGATCGAATCACGAGTTTATAAATATCGATAGCATATCAACAACCCTACATTCCGCAGGCATGAAAAATCTAAAAGTTAAAATAATTTGTTTATAATAAAAGTGCCAAACCTCAGCCGAATTAAAATTGCCAGCACTTAAACGGTACACATATATGTTCATATATATGTAAAATTCTTCAAATACATATATGTGAAATGCAGCGCAGACGTGTGTTCAATTGACTTAGTACTTAGGGGCGGGGTGTGGTTTGTAGCTTAAAATTCGTGTACGTTAAAAATATGTTTCCATATAACAAAATGAAAAAAAGAAGCAAGAAGAATGTCAGCAGACTAATTACTTATGCCAAACACAAAAGCCGCGCTATATTAATTGAAAGCTTCAATTATTTGTAGTATGCAAATCAGTTTGTGGCAGGCGGCCAAAGCGGTTGGCAATTGCGATTGCTGTTGTGTGTATATGAAAACAAAAGAGAAATACAATGACAACAACAACTACAGTAATATTGTTTTATTCGTTTTGTGCTTTTACTTTGCAGATTTGGCAACGTAAAAATCTGAAGCATCAGCACCATCACATACATTCATATACACACATACACAACCACACGCACACATACATAACACTCACTCACATACATAGAACAAAAACAAACTAAGAGTCACCCAGTTCCCCTCAGTTCTAAGTTAGACTGCAATGTGCAGCTGCAGCGTAAGCGTACGAGATGTCCCGGCTCGCTGATTACTTTGTAATTGTTGGCTACGATAACGACAAAGAAAGTGAGTGACACATACATGCAAAAACATATATTTATAAATGTGTGCGTGTGTAAAAAACATTTGTTTAATTTGTATTCTGCAGAGACTGCCGGCAATGTCTGCGGGCAACCAATATGCGGCAAAATTGTGCAACGCTTTCCTGAGAAAGATTGGCCCGACACACCCTTCATCGAGGGCATCGAATGGGTGAGTATACTTTATTTTCACACACACACCCACACACAATATTTACTCAAACTTATAATTGTAGTTCTGCCAGCCGCTCGGCTGGAATTTATCGTACGAGAAACAAGAGCCGAAATTCTTTATATCAGTGCTCACCGACATCGATGCAAATAAGCATTATTGTGCATGTTTAAGTTTTCATGAAACTCTGGCAATCACCCAGACCCGGACCGTGGACGATGAGGATGAGACGATTGCCAACAATAGCAATGGCAACTGTAACAATCGCGGATTGCTGGGCAGTGCGCCCGTTGAGCCAATAACACATCACAGCATTATGTATGCGCCCAAGTGTTTGGTGCTAATATCCCGACTGGACTGTGCGGAGACTTTTAAGGTAAGATCTGAGGCAACTAATTACAGTTGTATAACACCTAATGTTAACTTGATTATACTAAAATTATTCAATACATATATTTAATGTACAGAACTGTTTGGGCACCATCTATACGGTCTATATTGAGAATTTGCCATATGCCATGGAGAATCTCATTGGCAACATACTTGGTTGCATACAGGTGCCACCAGCAGGCGGGCCGCAGGTGCGATTCTCGATTGGCGCCGGTGATAAGCAATCGCTGCAGCCACCGCAAAGTTCCTCCCTGCCAATGACGGGCAGCGGTGTTTACTTTCTGTTCAAACAGCTGGGCATTAAGAATGTGCTGATATTACTTTGTGCCGTGATGACTGAAAACAAAATACTCTTTCACTCTAAATGCTATTGGCATCTGACGGACAGTTGCAGAGCATTGGTTGCGCTTATGTATCCTTTTCGGTACACCCATGTCTATATACCTATACTCCCAGCACCGCTCACGGAGGTGCTGTCCACGCCGACACCATTTATTATGGGCATACATAGTTCACTGCAAACGGAGATCACGGACTTGCTGGATGTCATTGTGGTAGATTTGGATGGTGGGCTAGTGACCATACCGGATGCATTAACACCACCTGTGCCCATATTCCCGTCACCATTGTGGGAGCAAACGCAGGATTTGCTCAGCATGATACTATTTCCCAATTTGGCGCAAGCTGATCTCGCCTTTCCCAATAATGAGCGACCCACCTCAACTATGGTCAAGACCGAAACCCAAATTGACAAGGAGTTGCGCGCCATATTTATGCGTCTATTCGCACAGCTGCTCCAAGGCTATCGCTCCTGCCTGACAATTATACGCATTCACCCCAAGACCGTTATAACATTTCACAAGGCTGGATTCTTAGGTGCTCGCGATCTTATCGAGAGCGAGTTTTTGTTTCGTGTTCTTGATAGCATGTTCTTTACCACTTTTGTTAATGAACGTGGACCACCTTGGCGGGCCGCTGATGCCTGGGATGAACTGTACAGCTCGATGAATGAACTGCTCAAAACGGAGTCACAAAACCGGAATCTCGTATGTGAAGAATAAATAACGATTAATATTAAACTAAACCTTAATTATCTACTACTACAGATACTCACACATATCCAGGAACTAGGTCGCACACTGTACGAGAACGAAGCATCTAATGCTCACACTACATATGCCCAGAAGGTGCTCCGGCCACCGCAAGGATCTTTTCAGCGCATTCACCAACCGGCATTTCCACGCATTAGCGTTGAAAAGGTAGAGCTGATCATACAAGATGGCATACGCAAGAATGGCCAATCGCAGCGGTTTCATGTCACTCGCAATCAACCCCGAATTATACCCATGGGTCCGCGGTTGCCCGAAGCCCTGGAGTTGCGTCCAACAACAGTGCACAATTCGGCTCGTCGCCTGGAGGTGCTGCGGACTTGTGTTTCCTATATATTTGAAAATCGCATTGCGGATGCGAGAAAGCTATTGCCTGCAGTAATGCGCACACTAAAACATCGGGATGCACGTCTCATTCTCTGTCGCGAACTTTTTGGATATGTACATGGCAATAAAGCGGTGCTGGATCATCAGCAATTCGATTTGGTTGTGCGCTTCATGAACAAAGCGCTGCAGAATTCATCAGGCGTGGATGAGTATACTGTTGCAGCTGCGCTGCTTCCCATGTCAACCATATTCTGCCGCAAACTCTCTATGGGTGTGGTTCAGTTTGCCTATACGGAAATACAGGATCATGTCATATGGAAGAATTTGCAGTTCTGGGAATCCACATTTTTTCAGGATGTGCAGGCGCAAATCAAAGCTCTGTATTTGTTGCAGCGTCGCCAAAACGAACACAAAAAAGAAGCCAACTGTGTGCTGGATGAGGTGCCGCTGGAGGAGCCAACGGCGTTAGAAATAACCGCAGAACAGTTGCGCAAGAGTCCCACCATAGAGGAGGAGAAAAAGGCTGAGCTGGCCAAATCGGAAGAGTCCACTCTCTATAGCCAAGCCATACACTTTGCCAATCGCATGGTATCACTACTAATACCAATCGACGTCAATGTGGATGCGGCCAGCAAGCCTAAGCTGGCCTTTCGGCTTGAGGAGAATCAGAGCGTTTCCAATAGGTATAATATACTAAATCGAGCTGAACGTATTTTTCTTTAATCTATGAAATTTACTTTCAGTATTATGGGCTCGCATAGCTTGAGCGAGCATTCCGATGAAGGTTTCGAGGAGAACGATGCCTCTGAGATAGGCGTTACTGTAGGCAAGACAATCTCCCGTTTCATTGATTGCGTTTGCACGGAGGGAGGCGTCACCTCAGAACACATACGCAATCTGCATGACATGGTGCCAGGCGTGGTGCACATGCATATTGAATCCCTGGAGCCAGTTTATCTCGAAGCGAAACGGCATCCGCATGTGCAGAAGCCGAAAATCCAAACGCCTTGCTTACTGCCTGGTGAGGAATTAACAACCGATCATTTGCGTTGCTT